CTCGACCAGGCGAGTATCCTGGCGCGGTGTAGCTTTGGATCCAGGCGGGGGAAGAGTTGCTACAGAAGTCGACAAAGTGTGCCCAGGAAAGCTGGAACAATTGAACTTGAACGGCCCCAACCAGTTAAGTTCCATCCCTCCCGATCATGGTTTGGTGGACAACCCCTTGTCTTTAGAATGGTCATGAGTATTCATATTCTTCCAAGTCCCATTTTCATCCAGTTTCCATCCTCCATCCTCCATCCGACCGGCACTGGGCAGGCTGTTGAGCGCCATTGGCCGCTCCTACCAAAGTACGGCCGAAGACTTTCTGTCAGGTGCATCGAAGCCAAGCTTCGCTGGGGCTTCGCGCTCGCGCTGGTTGGGAAGAAGACAATGTGCCGAGTTCTCACGACGATTCAAGAACGACAAAGCCACGCAAATCGTCCCCGGTGAGAAATGGACATGAAAGAGCTCCGGTTTTGCTGAATGATTTGCCAAACAAATCTTGGGCTCGCTCCCAAGAAAGCTCTGGTATGCCGAAACGAGATCAGACCAGGGGGGGATGCTCAAGAGTCATGGTCACATGTCAACACTGCCGAATCTGCTCCAGCATTTCACAGGGATCAACACAACACCCCAGCGATAAAAAAAATGGCCTCTTCAACTGACACCTTAACCAACCGCCAACCCCACCAGTCTTGGCCAAGCTTTGCAGATTAGGCTTTGGGAGCACCAATGGCTCTGTAGCGCCAGGACTCTATGGGCCCTTGACCTTGGAATCCCAGCTCACGCGCTTGAACCAGAGCTTTCAGGACGGCGAAGCATCGAGCTTGGTAAACCTTCGTTTGGATCTATCGGTGGGAGGAGCATGAAGAATTCAGCACAGTCGTATTAGTAATGATTCATGTTACATGATGTGAATGGATCTTATAAGACAAAGCTGGAAGCGCTAAGTATTGCCACCCTGATGTCTTTCGTTTCTCTTGCAGAGGACCACATCAAAACTGGAACGGCCCTCCAGTGCATTTACCCAAACACACGTTTCCGCGTGAACTGCCGCCGACGGCCCTCTTGGAGACGTTCGTGACCACGGCCACGAGTCAAACTCGACAGGACACCCACTTGAAGACAGCAGTGGGACTCAGCGTGGCGAAGGACTTTGGGGCGACCGTGGTACTGTCGACGGGGGAGAGACATTGAGCTCTTTTCCACTCCTGAACACTTCCGAAATGGCAAATATTTGCTGGTCACCCTCTCCCATCCGGCGCACATGGCGAAGTCCGCTGCTCCACTTCTTACGCGCACTCCGCGTGGTGGACACTGAAACTTCCCTGGTTTGGTCAGGATGGCAAGCACTTCCCCCTTTGGATCGCTGTTTGCCCTCACGCAGGCGGCCTATGCGGCGAACTCCGTGGCGGCCGAGGCCGCGGCGGCCTGGCACCGGAGCGAAGGTGGGGTCAGCACAGGGTGCGAAGAGTTCAGGTTACATCTCCGAAAACCAAAGAGTTTCCGATGACCAGTAATGAAAGGACCAAAAGTGGGGGTGTGAAGCAATCTTGGAAGTTGGTTCGAAGGGAAGATTGAGGCCAGTTGGGGATCCGGTTGAACTGATGAAAAAAAGTTAGGATGACTCATGGCTTCCCTTCTGTGCTTGGGATGTTGAAGGGGCAAGATGAATCCGGCATCATCTCGGAAACGGTTTGGCGAGGGTGTTTTGGGTGGAGCGGCCCAGTGGCTGGGTCTGGATGTTGCAGTAAAAAGCAAGGCTTTGTGCTCATACACCATGTTGAGACAAAGCCACCTGGCTTGCAGCACGCTAGATAACCAGTGTTTATTGGCACCTTTGGGTTATTCAATTCAAGCTCTCCTTTGCCAGGTGCGAAAGATGGCACGCACGTAGCTTGGAGCAAGAGGATAGGATCGGGTGAGGGTTCCAAACGCTCCCGGTGGCTGATCCATCCGGTTCCATCGGAGCTGCGTTCTGCGTCGCTGAGGCAAATGGGCTGAGTGGCTTCGAAGAGACGCTGGAAGGGACGTTGCCGGTCTTTCTGCAAACGCTTTGGGATGTTTGCCTGCTGGACATCTCTGCCACCCTGAAGAACGTCAGTGGCAAGGCGGAGAGAGGGCTTAGCAGGAGGGAGGGCGAGGGTAGGCGAGGCGAGGCGGAATTCGAGGGCCACTCTATTTGATGAAAGTCACGAAGGTCCAAGGAGATGTTTCCTACTAACTTCAAGGTAGGATGGCCCCCAGAAAGGTATCGGCGTTTTCACGTTCGTTTGTAATGTACATGTTTTTACATGCTCTTACCTTTCGAGTTGCCCGTTCTTGGACAACTACCGTGTGCTCCGGACAAAAGCCCCAGCTTCGGGCCAGTTAACCACGACGCGCGCATGGGGCTGCGCGATGGGGCAGCTGCGTCTCCAGGTCCTGAAGGATGTGAGCGTGCCATGGCAGCTGCGTCTCCGGCGCTGTCAAGCCTTGCTACACGTGGCCCGATCCTTCCGAGATCAGGGCCATGAGAGCCAGGCGGAAGCACGCAAGTGGCCCGCATCGCACGGCGGGACCGTGGGTCTTTGGGATGGGATTGTAAGCAGTACCTCCTACTGTAGGTACGTACCTCCTGTTTCTTCTTCGTCCTCTGATCGGGGCAGATGTTGTCGACCTGTAGTCATGTGATTTCCTTCGGAACATGACAGCTCAGGTTTTTGGCTGTACAGCAATCGCTGTCTTAGTCATCACTTCTTTTGTTTTCCGGTGGGCCTCGTACAGTTTCGACCCATGTTGCTCACTGGGTTTTCGTGCTCGAGGGTATTTTCCCTTTGAAGGAGGGTTTTTCCTCGACCACCTGTAAATCCATCTTGATTTTGTCTTTTAAAATCCTGCTAGCCAGCATGAAACTTCATCACCCCAAGCAAAAGGTTAGATCGATCATTCACATGCATCCACACACACACACAAGACATGCTTAAGAACCCTCAAACTTGGGGCTCTTCGAAAGCGGTCTTCGACACCCCTTTGTAACCGTCCAACTGTGGTTCAAGTCTTCTTCAGATTCGATGGGAACCTCCACTCAAAGGTCAAAGCCACATCGTCTTGACTGAACCCTACACACCTGTGGCACTGCGCGTTTTTTTTGCGTTGCGTTGCCTGGGATTCAGCGTTCGGAACGGAACCGCCGCGCATTGACTTGGCAGGCGGAGGGTGCGAAGCAGCTGTTGGAGGAAGCGTTGCTGGGCTCGGTGAAGCGATGAGCGGAGCCGTTGACCGTTTGGCCGTGCCGGTGCCGAGCCCGTGCCTCGTTCACGAGCCGCACGGGCTCGGTGCCGAGGGTCGTGCGGCTTCCATTGACCGGCCGCGAAAGGCTTTTTCAGAGATGCTACACATGTTTTTTGCTCAAGTGTTTTTTCGGGGCGCCCCTGGATTCTTCTTTCATTGACTCGTTGACGTTCAACTTTAAATCCCTGTCAAAAGGACCATTTACAAGCAGGATTGGTATATTGGGCCAATCCCTTCTGCGCAATGAAATCCAATTGCGGGCCTGTGGCCTCTGCCAAAGTCGCATGGAGGCCATGTTTCCCTTCCACCCGCATCTGCAGAACTCATGTGCCCTCCCACAGACTAAGATGCTCAGCCAATTGTGAGAGGGAGTCTCGAGAGCAAACACCATGACTCCCCACAAACTGAAACACCAAGGTCACTCCGCTACACCACAGGGCCCCCCCGAAAAGGCGCATCTATCATTATCTATCATTTATTCCCTCTATTTCTGGTCAAGAAACTGGCAAAAACTGCGTCGTTCGAAGCGTCGTCCTTTTTTCGCATGAGGCGCGTCGTCTCGGCGCGTTCTTCCAGTGGATTCCACCAGATCCAGTGGGCCGATGCATCGTTGGTCCGGGACGGGAGGACTTCGGCGAACGGCAGAGCTTGCCGGATGGCCAATTGCTTAAAAACGGGCGTTCAAGGCTTACGATGCGTGGAATGTGCGGCATGGAGGTGTATACTCTCCTTCAGGGTTTTGAGATTTAGACACGGAGTGACTTGGAACCAAGCCTAAACTAAGCCCCAAGCGAAGCCAAATACTAGACGCTGGCGTCGTGCCCGGACAAGAGATTGGAATCGATTTGACGGACCATGTTGAACGATGCTGTGATTTCAGTGCTTCACAACATCGAGGTGGTAATCCAAGTCAGCGTGTGAACACATAGGACATAGTATCCCGGTTTTTGGTGCAACCCAAAATGAACACCTTTTAAATTTTGTAGATAAGATATGATAAGATCCAACTTTTGTAGATTCATTTTGAAGGTCGGTCCCTTTTTCATGGCTTCTGTTTGCGTGCGAACGACAGATTTTGTTTGACACTCCTCCTCATGGATATTTTGGCTGATAGCTGCAGGCTGCCCCCCAAAAGGCCCGGTATTCTTTTGGCCAAACCAGAGTTCACTGCGACCTGACACTCGAGGCCCCGGGTCATCTCGGGTGGTTGATGTTGAAAGGAATTGACTTTGGGATCGTTCAAAGGGGCAAAGGTTCAAACACGAAAAATGAAAAGCCTGTGTGGAGTGCGGACCATCGGATCGTTTTCTTTGGACGAAGCGATGTGTACGGACGATGCTCAGACCGTGGGGGCCGTGGGGGAGAAAGCGCATGACAGGGAAAGTCCAAAGAGACGCAAAGAACAAAGCAATTTCAAGTGAGTTGGAGAAAGCGCACGTCAGATTTCATCAGATTTCTGTGCAGCGGAACAAATTTCGGGGTAGCCAGCTAAACGAAAGCCACACCTGCTTGGCCAGTGACAGAGTGAGCACGATTGCATAACTGGTGTGCCAGGAACTAGACTGTGGAAGAGGGCACCCCACCCTATGAGTGCGACTCAACAATGGGCCAATGGTTTTGTAGTTTATTTTCCCTGAATGATGGGTTCTCCTCTTTTAAGACCCATAGCTGAAACAACCAGAAGTACACTCCAGCCCTTAAATTATAGAACAACTCTTGATCTCGGCCCGTTTTCACCGGCCATGCTCCGGCCTTCCCTTGCTGCGGCCGTGCAATGGTCTAGCCAGACTGCTAGTCGACCCACCAGCGAAGGGATGGTGGGCCGCGTGTACAGCAGCGGAGGGAAGGGTCCCGTTGGAGGACGGGACATGTTGAAGAGACACTTCAAAACTCTTTGCAAAACTGTAGACTGTTGAATAAGACCAGACGTAATACCTTTGTATGTTTTTTCAGTTTTATTGACATGATCTTCAATTGGCCGCCGATGTTTGGCGCAGCAGATCATGCCACAATCACGGCTTTCTTTGACGATTCGGCTACTTGGAGGCTACACATACCCGTATGTGGCCGCCGCCGCAGTCGTGCCCCCTGCGACTGCGCCAGCCCACGCCCCAACCACAGCGGTGGCGCCAGCACCCGCGCTGGCCGCGCCCACCGCGCCGGAGCCACCCGCCGCGGACGCCCGGGAAGCAGAGCGCCTGCGACGGGAGCTGCGAAAAGCAGAGGAGAAGGCCAACTTCTTTCGGAATCAGGTGCGGAAGTGATTGCCCCGGGTTGGTTGATGTTTTTCTTTTTTTGTTGCCTTTTTTATATAAGTCTTTACACTTTGAGCTCTGATTTTGCATCCAGCTCTGAGGGAACATGAGGGAACCAGAGATAGATGGTGGGTCGTCCAAGCGTTGGGGATATCGACGGTTTGGTGCCCGACCTCACCCTGCGATTTCCAGGTGCTCACCCTGCAGCAGCAGATTGCGGCGATGAGTTCGCCCATCATGGCTCAGCAGGACGCTTCGCAGCTGCCGGAAGAGTTGGCGCGGCTGCGGCAGGAGCTGAACCAAACGCGACAGGAGATGGGGTGGATGGGGAGGATCATGGGGTGAGAGATCGTGAGGGATGTAGAAAAACATGTGCATCTGTTCGGGGGTGGTGAACTAGGGATTCAATCTGCAGCTGCGATCCAAGAAGGGTGCCTGACAGAGGCTGTACGTTTAAGTCCTCCTTTGTTGATGGGTCAGTGGGATGAGGAATATCACCGGCGAAACCATGGAAACCAGCGGATCAGCTGCTGTTACCCCTACCAGCGGATTTAAGTACACCTTCACAACGCTCGCAACATGATATCAGCGCCGAGTTGGGCGACCGGACTTCATCGCTTTGGCCTTCTACACACCCTAAAATAATGGTGGAAAGTTGAGGAGCTGTCTGAAGAGCGACGGCAGCGGAAAGAGGCCGAGCAACTTGGCTGATGGGCCCGTTTGGCAATGGTGTCTTGAGGGTTGACCACTGGGCGGAAGAGCAAGTTTTCATTTACCACTGCGACGGAGGCCGATGGGCGTGGTTTCTTCCATCAAAAGTGGGTGGACTCGGTGTTTGTTGATTGCTGCCCCCACTTGAAATAGATAGTCTCATGCATGATAGTGATTGCATGTGATCGTCACCTTCCAAGCCCCGCTGGGAACAATCACATGGCAATGGAACACCCATCAGTTCAAGACACGGCATCCAGTGGAAAGATGAAAGAAGGCATTTCTTTTGGCTTCCAGGTGGGCTGGACCCGTTTCTCATCGCGGAAACATGGATCACTTTTCTTTCAGTCGTAGATCTTTGGGGCGTCCATGGCATCCAACTTCCCCGTTTTCCTTCCCCCTAAAAATGTACCGCACCACGCCGAGGCAACAGCTGGAGCACATTTCGCGTGCCTGTGGCGTGCCCGACGCTGAGAGCGCCCTGGCGCTACTGAGTCGTGCGCAGGCACAGCGGGAGGAGCTCAGCGGAGCACAGGCGCAGGTGGAGGCGCTGCAAAAGCAACTGTCAGTGACCAGGCGAGGGGTTTTCCTGGGATGTCCAGGAGCGAACGCATGGCGCCATGGGCCTGTTTTCGTTGCGCCACGGGACGGGATCAGCATCAGGATTGGACATTTGAACTGGCCAAGCTGTTTTTGAACACCTTGGAATGCAGAATACGTATATATATATATAGAATATATATATATAGAGGGGTCAAGTAGGAGCTGTATGATGTTCCGAGCTTCGGGCTTTCATCGCTCCCACGATGCAGGCAGCAGCTGGAGGAGCGCGTTCTCCCCGATGGCCCCAGCTGGACGTCGGCGGTGACGGTGCCGGCGCTCTCCTTCCCGGAGCTGGGCACTGGCATGGCCGCTCGGGTTGTGCGAAGTTCCAATCTGGGAAAGGGTCCTCAAAGTAGAGAAACAATCAACTCGCAGCCGCCCTCGTGGAGGCCAGGAGCCTCCATATGATGTTGACTACATGGGTGGTGAGATCCGTCGCGTCAGACGGAAATCAGCCAAAAACGACTCGCCCCAATGGAAAAAACTGAGCGTTGATGACCAGGAACCAGAAGACTCCGTGTGAGAAGAAGATAGAACGTCCATCAGAGAGTTTTCAAACTCAGAAGCATTCGGTTTTCCATGGTTTTCTCAGAGTTTATTTATTCATGATACATGATATTCTTTCTCTCTCTCTCTCTCTCTGCTTTTTGAAAGTCCAGGCAATCGAGTGTCGAGTGGTGGTTCCAGCTCTTTGAGACTGATGAAAGCGTCATGATGTCAGCTCTGTCAAATGCCAACCTGACCTGACAAGTGAATAGCAGTGAACTACAGTGAATGATACATGTATACTTGAAGAACCCGATATGATCCAGTTTAGGAATCACAGATCAAGAAAAATCCTTCCCCATCGCCCATCCTTCCCATCCGTCCCGCTCCAGGTGGTCTCAGAGGCCTTCGGCATCGACTTCCTGGACCCCAAGTGCCCAGCAGGTGGCGAGTCCACAGCGCGTCGCACCGGAAGCGCCCAAGCGCGGCAGCGCGAACGCGGCGTTCTGAAGAGCCCCTATGACATCGGACATGGCTTGGGGAATCAAGGTGTTGGGGGGGGGGTGCATATGGCCGTGGGTCCCAAACCAGGAGACCGACCTTGACCTACCTCAAAGGCATGGACTGGGCTCCAAGTTTTGACCTGTCCGCTATCCGCACTTCGCAGAGTCCGTCGCAGTGTCCAGGACCCAAGAGAGCCTTGATCGTGGGCTGCGATTACCCGCAGAAGCCTGGGACGATCCGTGCTGGGATCATTGATGCCATGCAGTGGTGCGCCAGAAGAAAGGGCACGATCCGTACATGGCTCTTGGACCCCCAGGACTTGAACATGTAGATTACAAGGGTGCGCCATCTTGCTGGTGTTTCTACCTCGTTTCTTTTTTTGTGGGAGGCCATCTTGCTTTTGACTGGTCCGAAGGTTGGATCGTTTTCATCCTCAAGTGGATCTATTTGATCGCAAGATAAAACACGTATATAACAGCATCTAACAGCCATCCTTGGCTGCCCCTCACATGCGACTGCTTGGGTCATGCGAGTGACATGGGTCTTTTTGTTGAGTCATTTGTTTCTCCAACACCCTCGTCAGGTATCGCTTCTTTCAATCCAGATGTGGCTTCACGGACAAGGACATGCGCCTTCTGGCGGATGATGCCTCCAATGTCCCAGTGGACAGCCTGAACGCCACGCGGGAGAACCTGCTGCGAGGCTTGGCATGGCTGGTGGCCCGGAGTGCTCCAGGCGATCAGCTTTTCTTTATCTTCTGCGGTCATGGCGCTCAGATCCCTGTGCAGGAGACATGCCTTGTTTTTTTGATTTTTTTCTAGTCTAATTAGTCCTGTACAGCTTGCTCCATATGATGGGCTGGCTTCAACAATCTTGCACATGCCGTCATGGTGTGCACATGTCTTATGACGAGATGTATGTCTCAAAATTGCCAGTTTTGCGCGGGGTCCCGTCCGGGCTGGTGCACCTCCGCAGGAGACTCCCGAGAGTCGTCTCTGCGAGTGCGCGCTGGTTCCCTCCGATGCCATAGATGGCAAGGAGAGAGATGAGAGCCTGAGACCTTCGGAGAAAGCAGAAAGCTGAAGCGGACAACAGCTTCCATTTTGCCACCACAATCATGCTGGAGAGGTTTTCGGAGAGGAGATGAGAAGAGAAAGTATTCATAGCCTCTCCAAGGTGTGGCCTTAGACTTAGACGCCATGAACTGAAAGGGTTGTCTGTTAGGCGGATTTGGGCTGTTTCGGTCGTCCGGTCGTCCGTTGCTTTGTTGGAAACTTGGGACATTGAAGGGGTGTTTTAGCGACTGATTCAAGGTCAGCTAGAAATGCATAGAAATTCTTCTGTATATAATATATACACTGGGAATTTTCTTTACTTCAGTCGGTCAAAATATAGTCTTTGGACTTCTAGGGACACATGCTGGCAGGGTTTCCCCGCATCCTTTGGCATCGTCCAAAAAACAACCTCTCCGACTCTGAGCGGTATCTCGTCCGTCGGCGGGGGTGTTGTCCATTTCGTCCGCCAGAGCAACGTATACCGAGCTGCTTCCCCCTGCCCACCAGGGGCGAATTTTTCAGCGTGAAAGTCGGACGTTGCGAATGGGTGAGGCATAACGGATGTTAATGTGGACATCATTTTGGAACGAACCTGCAGGGCGGTTCCAGAGCTCATTTCCGACGGAAACGCGTTTCGGGTCACCGGGGCTGAACCCAGACGGGATGCCATCGCCTTTCCTCGGCGAGGAGAACCCGCGGATGGTTCGGGACTTTGAGATTCATCAAGCCTTGGCCACGCTGCCCTCAGGCGCACGGGTTCCACATGGCGTGCGAGCGAGTGGGGAATGTTCCGGGGCTGAAGATACAGTGCTTTAGAGGTGCCTAGGAGTCTCAATGCCATTCAACAAGGCCGGATTGCACCTATATAGCTTCTAAGGGAGTTCACTTCATGCTTGGTTCAGCTCCCCAAAGCGCAACTCACCACCCGACCCGGGCGCGCGATCGCTGCGTTACTGGCTGTTAGGTGTTCAAGTCACCATGATCGTGGACGGCTGCCATGCTGGACATCCCCTGGATCGTTTGGGTGACCATCGCTTTCATGCTGTGGCCAGAGGGCACGTGGACTACGAGATTTGACCAACAGTGGAGGGTGGGTGGTGGATTCCGTGGGTGGGCCGGGCATTGGAAATCACAGGGTTTCGTTTCCCCTTCTCAGAGGCTACTTTGTGCTAATTGTGGATCTTGACCCCACAGATGAATACCGTGAGAATTTCGAACAGGGACAGGAATCGACATGGGTTCCCACTCCCGTCTAATGGCGACTTTTTTCTAATTCAATGCCGTCATGCGCCACTGGGCCCACTTGCCCAATGGGCTTTCATCATGCATTCGACTCAATCTTCTCAGGAATTTGACCTGGAAAATCATCAGGGAACTCTGGAATGATGCCCTGATATGAGATGCAAGCATGGTGGGCATGCTTGGACCATTTTGGGTTCAAGTGACCGTGCTCTCCACCTGGCATGAGGACAGTCGTACAGTCCATGGGGATCTAAAAAGGCAAGTCAATCTCTTGCAAGCCAATTTTTCATCATTTTTCGCAGCATGAACAAGTCAACCAGAATCGGACATGTGATGTTTTTGAAGGGCGATGGGGCACCCGCGAAATCCGTTTTTTGCCTCACTTCCACCCACCCACGGACCGTGCCGCCCGCCCGCCCGGGCCCGAGGAGAAGCTCCGACATCACCCAGTGCTGCCGAGGTTCTTCGAGCTGCCGGACTGGAAGCTGCAGACGGCCTCGCCGATGGGCCTCAGCTTGCTCCGGTGTCAGGCTGGAAGGGTCTCAGGAGTCAGGACTGCAAAGGATCCCGGATTGGGGTCAGGGATCGTCAAGTGGTTGGTTGATTAGGGAATCTTTGGAGGTCTGATGTGCGGATCATGAAAAGAGAAGATGGATAGACAAGCAACACCCGTCAGGCTGGAGGGTCCGGGTGGTTTGTTGAGGACCTCCGATGTTGGTTTGCCATGCATACCCCTTCTTCTGCCACCATTGAGACCGGATAAGACAGGCAAGCAAGCCTGAACGATTTTCCCATTCTGTGTTCTTTCCTGGTCAGACATTTGTCATATCTGACGGCGTCTCACAAAACTGGGAACCTTGTTTCATCTCATTGGGTTCGGCCGGCATCAGGCGGTTCTCTTCAACGCTTGTGCCAACCACCAGTTCTGTGTGGAGCTCCCCATCGATGAGTGCAAGGCACGTGGAGTCTTCACCTATATCTTCATGAGTGCCTTGGTCCGATCAACCCTCCAAGCTCCAAGGAGTTGGGCTGCACAGCACCCGAGACACAGGGAGAACGATTTCAGGGCGTGGTTGGGCGGCTGGGGGGGCATCAATGGTTTGTTTCAGCTTGGTTTCTTTTTCCTCCGTCCCCTCTGACCTTCCCCCGCTGGCTCCGATCAGCTGACTTTCTTCGAAACGCTTCGAACGGTGAATCCTCGCCCTTCCTTGTGGCAAAACCATGGTGACCACATGTGACCACCTCTCCGTCTATGGCATACCACCCCTTCAGCTCCATCGCGCCCAGTGCTGGTCCCTCATCGCCGGGTTCCGCGGAACTCGCCTGGGAGGTGCCATCCTGAAGGCGGGCGTCCAAGCCTCTTGCGGGCAGATTCTCTTCGAGGCCAAAGAGCTCACAGCGCAGCTCCGCGGGAGGCGGGGTTTGGGCCAAAGGCGGTGTGGATTTTCTGGTGGGTTCTGGTGGGGTGAGAGCTGAGAGCCATAATAATGAATACATACATACATATATATATATATATATATTATGGATATAATAGGTGATCAGATGGTGATATAGGTCAGGATCACCTTTTAGAAAAACTTACATGAGATTCAAAATTCTAACAGGTGAGGTCTCTGTATTTTTTGGTGCCTCAGGACTTTAACGTGGTGCCTGGCCCCACAGAGTCTTTTTGGAGCGAGCCAAGTACCCAACCAAGGACACAAATCAGACCAGAACAGAGGTCAAACAGCCCCAAGGTCTCAGGACGATTCTGACCCAGTTCCTGGTTCCCTGGTGTAAACTCCGTTTCGGTTTCAGGACTGTTGGTGAGCTGATGTTCGCAAATCCAAGCTTGGCCAAAGACAATATGGGGTTCTAACAGCACCTTTGGGTTTTGTGCAATCTTGTCTGAAATCACAGGCAGGCTGCTTGTTCTGTCACCAATCGGTCTTCGCATGTCTCCACTATCTGCATGCTTAGAGTTGTGGCCGCGATCTGCATGTCTCAGGGGGGTTCTTTTGGCTCGCAAGTGAAACAACGAGGTCAGCTTCAGAGCTAAACCGGTAAGCTCATGGCTCCTCATCTGATTAGCTCAAAAGCTCCTCGCACAAGAGCAGTACAAACGGGGTCTCTCAGTGAGTATCCACTGAAATCCTGGACGACCATAGATCGTCTTGCAGCGCCTGAGAACCAAGAACAGCTGGATTTCAATTGGCAAAGGCATTTTGACCCTGGTAGCCTAGATGGAGATATGTCCCGACGAGGGAGAACATTCCACTGTTCTTTTTCTTCAGACCATTCCCTGTACAAATCCATCGCCGGCACATGAAATTTCATGGTGCCAGTGTCCTCTGCTTTGTGCTCCTGCTGTCCTGGCAGGCTCCGAAACTCGGACCAGTCCAAAGTTCCCGACGGAAGTGTCTAAACGAAATGAACTCAGGTCTTCGGTACTTCAGGGATTCATGGTGTTTTTTGCCCAGTTGATCTTTTTCTTCTTCAAAGTTTAACATGTGTCAGTTGAGACGATTTGAACCTTCCATAGCCTTCCAAGATACCCGTTTTGTGATCCAAGCCTTTCAACTGAACTGGTGAAGGTCTATCTTCTTGCCTTGGCACCCCGCTGGGATCGCCACAAACTCAAAGTGACGAGCTCCAATGCGACGTGGCGCGACGGCGATGCTGACCACGACCATTTGGACCGCCCCGGCCACGCGACGATGTCCACCACGTCCGAGCCGCCGGCGGCCTCCGCGACGGCCTCCGTGACGAGCACGCCGTGGGTTGGTCGCACCGTTCGTCGAGGCGGTTGGAAAGAGAAGGCGCCGAAGGTGGTGGAAGTGAAGAAGGTTGTGTCAAAGTCGAAGGTGCCGAGCGTCAAGGAGGAGAGAAAGGTTTTGACTGGGAAGTTGGATGGAAAGGACGATGCTGATGCCTTGCGAGCTGCAGTGATCATTGTTGGAGCTGCCAGATCACTCTTGTGGAATGTGGTTTGTAGCAACATCAAGACGAGGCTGCTGGATGGTTTGGCCACACCTGTGACAGGGCAGCGGCGCTGGAAATTGGATGTGTTCCTCTTTGTGTCATTCTTCACAAATCGATGAGTGTTTTTTGTTGTTTTTGAAACAACTCAACCTGGTTGGATGAAACAACTTTGCCAATCTTTTTGCCAACTCTGTGAGTTTTTCTTGCTTGAATCCCGGTACGAGAGTTTGCTCTTTTTTTTCCCAGCTGGACATGCTTTGTAGACCATTTCCCATAGGCCCATAGAGTTAGTTAAGCGCATCAAATGCAGCATTTTTCGCCTCAAATAGAGAAAGAGAACCGACACACACTGGTCAGAGCCTTCCAAAGAAAGACCGTCATCTCTATAACACTTGACTTGATGACCATCAGGATCATGGATGGAACGGATGAGGCACCAGAGGATTTTTGGGTTTTGGGGAGCAAGCTTTTGAGGGGCTACTAGGAGCCGCAAGGACGCTACTAGGGGCTCCTGGCCGTACTATTAGGAGCAAGAAGCTACTAGGGGCTCCTGGCCTCGCTACTAGGAGCAAGGACGCTACTACGTCGGAAGCTGCGGAACCGTCGGTCTCGTCAGACGAGGTCGCTGGGTGATGACGCTCGACCTGGTAAGTTTGTGCGGAGCTACCAGGAGGAACAGAGCCGTGGCATCGAGTTTAACAGGAAAGAAAGACCTCCAACAGGTTTCTTTTGGTGTATATAAGAGGTATTGAGAGTCGAGAGCATCTCTGAGAGCTGCCTGAGAGGGAGTGTCTTGGTACTTAGACCACTATATATATATATATTATATATATATATAAGAGATGCACATAAACCATTCTTGGGTGCTTTAATCTTGGGGTGCAGAAACCACGCTGTTGGAGAGAAGAATGGGCAAATACCTGGTTACCCAGTGAACCTGGCTGGCTTTTGCCAGGGAGGTCTATTTCGGGGCAGCCGGTAGGTCCCCATTCCGAGCCGTGGTGGATCTTCGCCAATGGCCGAACTCATGACGAGACGAATCGCCTGTGGTTCCGGGTATTCGACCGAGGATCCGCCCCTGTGCCAAGCTGCTGCAGCCGGTCTACATGGATTTCATGGCTCCAAAGTATGAGCCTCCCAAACACCACAACTGTTCGCTGGGGATGGAGCCCAGCTATAGCAAGCGAAGGGACCAAGCGCGTGCATATTCCCAATGCAAGCGCTTAGAGATCGCCTTTGACTCGGTTTTTAAGGACTTTGAGCCCAACATGAGCTACAAGTACAGCGCCATCGTGCGTGCACGACCGGATGCAATTTATTTAACCACTGTGCCACCACTCTCGAGCTTCAATCTGTCGAGATTTACATTCTCCACTGGAGCAGTCTCGGACCACTGGCACGTGGTGGGACGCGGTTGTCCGTTGGTTTCACCCTACTGTAGCTGGGTGTTGTTTGGTGAGCCTTCCCTTTTGCCAATCTCTTTAAAACACCAACAGCCTATTGCCTTCCAAGATGGATAATTCCCTGGAGATCAGTGAGGAGTCATTTCTATTTTTTCCGCAGCTCTTCTCGATCAACTCTCATGGATCTTACTTTCACAAACCAAATCTTGTAGCTCACCTAGACCTCAATTGGTTTACTTTGGATTTTGGCAGACCCTCCATCTTCCACCTCTGACTCCTAACTCACCACTCCTAACTCACCACTCTGCATGACAATACGTCGCTGTGTTCGGCGGACGGCCCGGTCGGCCCAGGCATTCACTGCCAAGACCACTGGCCACAGCAGTTGGAGACCCGTTGCCACGTCTCCCCCGAGACGGCAGTGCTGGACTCGCGCGTGCAGCTGGCGGTGGCACGGGAGCGCGTGCGGAGAAGGCCCACGAGGCACTTCAGAGCGGGGCTTTTCTTAGAGCCTTGGAGAGAGATGAGGGGAAAAGATCGTGCAGACAATTTGGCCAGGGAATCTAGGTACCATGGTAGGGTGCATCTAATGTGGTTTGCTTCTAAGTCCGACTATTGCAGTGCACATTCTATAAACCAAATGCTGTCTAGTGGGAAATCGCAACACCTGTGGAATCTGCAGGCATCCCAGGTGCGCCCTGTTTATTGACATCATGTTCGTCTCCAAGGGTGTGCCCACCAAGCTGGTTGCAGAGGCCCATCCGGTTTCACCAAAGGTGCCAGTTTGAGACACTTTCCAAGGGCATCTTAGGGCCGGAGAAATTCCGCAGGTCTTTTGAAGTATAGAAGTATAGTATGAAGTAGTAAAGAATCCGGATAGCGGGCATAGGGAGGCCCAACCTCTCAGTTCCTCCTCTTCCTTTTCGGTTTCACGATCTTTTCCGAGGATGTGGAATGTGGACGCTGGAAGGTGCGCCTCACCAAGTATGCGCCGCAGACCTACCAACGTGTTCGTGGCATGTGCGACGCTGAAGCGCTGAAGTTCCTCCGTGCGCAGCCTCCGGGGAAGTGATTGCTCGACCCGCAGGAAAAGGGCTGCGGTTTCCAGCTTCGCTTGGCTTCGCTTGGCTTCGCTTGGAGCCATTGGGGTTTGATCCCACGTGTTTCCAATATTTTTTAGCTACAGAATTGGAGGAGAACCGAAGGAAATTCGACCCCTGCGTTCTGTCGGAAATTCAGACTGAACCTCTGGGTCGCCAGACTTGGCTCCTTCGATCCAAGTGGCTTGTTGAGTTTGTCGATCCGACTCCCAGCGATCATAGCGATCTGGGGCTTCAAACATTGAAGCCACGAGATCTGGTTGAACTGATGAAAAAAAGTTAGGCTTCCCTTCTGTGCTTGGGACGTTGAAGGGTCGGAAACGGTTTGGCGAGGGTGTTTTGGGTGGAGCGGCCCAGTGGCTGGGTCTGGATGTTGCAGTAAAAAGCAAGGCTTTGTGCTCATACACCATGTTGAGACAAAGCCACCTGGCTTGCAGCACCCGAGATAACCAGTGTTTATTAGCACCTTTGAGCCTTTGGGTGATTCAAGTCTGTGAGCGTCTTTCTGCTCCAGCCCAGGTGGAGACTGCAACAGGAATTGCAGTTCCAGCATTGTCAAGCCACTTCCGAGCAGCAGCCTTTCTTGCGCTTCTGATGGTTGCCTTTCTGCGGCCTGGGTCGAGGGTTGTGTTGCCTGAAGTTCTGAACTGTTGGGGATTGAAGCAACAGTTTGGGGTGTAGGAACTCATATTTGCAGTCTGATAAGTTCAGCAGTCTTGGTTTAATGAGGATCGAGGCGCGACACCACATGAGGTTTGGACCAAACCTTGAGCACTTGCTATCGAATCGAAGGTTAAATCTGAATCATCGGGATTTCGAGCATGTCAGATCCTTGTTTGCCAGGCATTTGGTCCAACCCCCAAATCGGTGTTCGACCAACCTTCAGATGTGTATCCTACTGCCAATGATGCAGAATCTGTTTGGGTGGACAGCTGAGGGGGGGGAGGCTGTGCGAAAGAAGGGCTTGAGCGGCTGTGCAGGTTGACATGTTTCTATAGACACCGAGTTTCTCACACAATCGTGATCGCCTCAACCAATAGCTGATGTTCAGATAACTTCCGATACAGGGAGTGTGGCTCGTTCTTGTTTCACAATGGCAATGGGGGATTTTGGGGTACTCTTTCTTGAGCCCGCAACTGCTGACTGGAAAGCATCCAAGCTGCGCAGGAGTGAGAATCATTTGGGGCGCACAAGCAGTCCATAAGCTGGGGTCTCCAAATTGAACACCCTGAGAAGAAGAGGACCAGCCATTGATCCTTGATCTTGTTGGCGGAGCAAGAGCCATTGACCCAAAAGACCAAGTGCCATGAAGAGGTGTTCCACACAAGATCATTTCGAGGTGCTCCAGCGCCATCCCGCAACCAACGAGGCGGACCATTTTTCCGGACGAAGCGCGATCTGCGTGATCTGCGGAGTGTGGAGTGGCGCGGTCGGCGGTGGAGTTAGCGACGTACTCCTCCACCAGCCCTTTTTGTTTGGTCCCCGACAGTTTGAGTATCCGAAAGACTCGTGGCACTGGGGGCGTGAAGCTTGAAACAGGGATATGAATGCTGGTGACATCGGGCTCGGGAAGCATATGGGATCCTAGAGTCCAGAAGATCACAGATTCGGGTCCCGTGAAATATACTGATATATATACCTAAGGGGATTTTTTGCCAAACTTAGCACAGACAGAGAAGGAAAGGCCCTGCAACAGTGCTTGTAGGCGCTTTGTGATGCGCAAGGATCCCTCGGGGCCATCGTGCGGCATGAAAGCATGCCAAACTCTGCACTGCAGGACTTCTACCAACTGATGCCACTGGTGTTCATCCAAAGACTCCAAGAAAAGCATGACACAGCATGTCACAACCTGACAATGCCACACTTTTCTCAGGGCGCCGGGGAGAAACAATCACCCGCCACAACGGTCCTGAGAAGAGGGCGCCGTGGCAACGTGGCGACGTCCGTCCGCCCCTTTAGGTGGAAGATGGCCCGACGTTGCTCAGCTGCCCCGAGAACCGACCCTTTAAGGAGTGCTCGGTGGACTGGCGAGGCCAACGTGCGGTGGGACACATGCGTGTTCGGATATCCGTGGTGATGGAGGTGATTTCTTGGCATGATGTTTCTGCCGTGATGCTGGTGGGGTGGTTGTATGGTTTTGTTTCTCCTGACAGTGCTTGGATTTCTTTTCCTTACCTTCCTTACCCAATTCCTCCATCTCCATGCCGCTCTTCCGCCGGTCCAATCCGGTCTTGCGTTCTGCCAGGAGTTGCAACGCTTTGGACAGCCCTTCTGGGGCCACTTCCGTCGAAAGAAGCTGAAGCTCCCCGAGGCGGATCTTCGTCGGTTCGGAGCTTTCGCCTGCGGCCGCCGGGCCGATGAGACTGATTTGAGACCATTTTTTTGATTGCTTGATAAAAAAGGATGGAAAAGGGAAAACCATGGAGTTCCCCCGTCATTGCACTTCTTTCTCCATCCGCCATCCGCTGCTTCGACCGGTGCAGACCAGCATGATGCCCTACGGCCTTCAGATTGTCGACACGCCTGGCATGTGGGGAACTGCAGACAGCAGTCAAACAGTGAAACTGGGGCAAACAAGATCTCAGAAGGTTGCAAGATGGGAGCAACAACCCCCTATTGAAAAACAAGTTCCTGTTCGTTGTACAACAAGAGCCCGCAGATCGTGGCATAAAGTTCCGAACGCGAGGATAGCTGGGAATTGACCGGAGGGCTTTGCAAACCCGAGACTGAAAGGCTCCATGTTTGACTCGTTCATCATACTTCAGGAAGAAAGTGTCATGGCAGCACCCCTCCAGAATCTGGTCTATGACCACCATCACCTCCAAACATCGATGCCGGCGCAATGCGCAACAGGATCGACATGCCGGTGAAGTCCGAGTCCATGGCCGGAGGCAGAGGCACGGCAGGAATGGGCGTGGTGCCATCCTGATTCCATTGATTTATACCAGAGACCCGTTAGGGGTGGTTAGTGGACGCCCCGAATCACCTCTAAGGGGCTATTGAATGCTATTGGCTATTGACCATTAGACACCCCTGAGGGGGCCCAGAGGTTCATTGGATGAGACAGACAGGTTCTGGGCTGCTGTGTCAACGAACGCGTGGCGCCCGCTGCGAGCTGCGTGAAGGTTTGGTCAAGAATCTTTTTGTCGTTGCATGCCCATTCTTCGTGCCTCTGACAATCTCTTTTTTCCTGTCGCATAGGAATCCTGAGTTGCCTTTCACAACCCTTGATTGGGCTGCGCATCTATCTTCTCCTTCATCTCTGAGTGTGCGGGATACCGCTGCAGGCTACAACTTCTTAGAAGTTGTTCGGTGGTTCGCGAAACGCCTGGAGCCCTGTGGTATGCATTTCGCCTCAGTTTACAAGTCCAGTTGTGGCAGAAGTTAGGGAAGGTTTTCATGCTTTTTTGAGCTCTCTTAACTTTGGATACTTGATGATACTTGCAGGAATTGACCTAAAACATCCTAAAACTATTGATCATGTAGAATAATTAAGCATTGCCAAGGTAAGTGAAAGGACAACTCAGGAGGTTTCTATAGCAACGATACTGGGAATGATTGAGAGACTGATTATTTGATCGCTTGGTTACTTCATCACACGCAAATCGATCACAGCTTCATCGATGCTGTTTCACATCCTTCGTCCGACGCTTCGAAACGACGCCGAGTGGTCGGGTCGTTGGTTTGAAGGGTCTTCCTGCTTTGTGACATCGGGCCTTCCACTCTTCGACGACACATCCGCTTGGACGACAGACGCTGTGAGGTGCAGACCTCATCCTGCTGCTCTTTGACCCGGACAGGCGGCGGAGTCGGAGTCGCAGGGTTTCCCACCCAGGAAACCTTTTCATCTCTTTTCACTCTCTTTTCGCTCTCTTTTCGGGGGTGTTTGAACACTGAAGGACACCGAAGGACGGCGCCGGCAACCAATGCCTCCCGACTCCCAACAGAGGTTCTTCAGGGATCAGTATATAGACTATACCATAGGTAGCTCAGGTGACGGGTCCTACAAGCGTTCCCAAGAGTTCTTCACCCTAGGCCTGGCACCACGGGTGAGTCCTTGGACGTGCTCACACGCTCCATGGTCGGGCGACCCATCGGGCATGGTGCCATGGGGTTCGATTGGTGGTTGCAGGACCGAGTCGGAGCTCGGAGGCTCGGAGCCATTCCGTTCGAGCTGCCGGGCGAGAGGGACGCCCCGGTGGGGTGTTCACCGGGACTGAGGCGGGGTTGGACCACAAGTTTGTGATCATCCTGAATAAGGCCCATGGCGGCGTGGGGGGGGTTCGCGGGGGTCGTGAAAGCAAGGTGAAAGCGGATTCTCAGAGGGGCCCGTTCTGGAACTGGTTCATGGAAGAAATCCGGCACCCATCGAAACATGACCTGTATCCGCATTGAAGACGAGGAGCTGGAACCCCCTTATGCTACGTGCGAGGCGATGCAGGATTCTTGCCAATCAGTCAATGAGGCCCTTGCTCAGTTTTGACAATGCATATATGTATGAATATGTTCATTTTAAGAGGGAGCGAGAGGGAGGAGCAACACAGTGTGTATATATATATATATACTGTATATATTTACTCCGCCAACAGTAAGATACAGTAACTACTATAGAACTAGTTCTGAACAGTTGGTGGTGAAGGAGCTCTTGCCCCTTTTGTTCGTCCAAGTTTCTGCAGTTCTTGTAGTAGTTCCAGCAGAGAGCAACGATGCACAGTGCTTGTTCGAAGGGGATTTGGAGTTTAGAATCATTGCTGTCTAGTTGTTTGAATTTAGGAGGTGACCATCGCCACACAGGTTTCACTCACCATGACTGACATGTTTCGTCGCCAGCAAGCGTGTCGTCGCGACGGTCCAGGTGGACCAGTTGGATAGCAGCGTGGACTTCGCCCGTGCCTATGGGACACTGGGCTGGGCACTCTCCAAGGCGCGGCTACGAGCGCGTTCTGCGATGAGTCAGCAAGGGCCTAGTGGTTCTGGGGTTCTGGTTGCCTTCTCGGTTCTTTTTCTTTCAGTCATTCGAATCCTTCGAATCTCCACTGCCATGAACGTTTTACTTCTGCCTTCGCCTTCGACGGACCTGTCTCGCCGACCTGTCTCGCCCAGAACCCCACGGTCCGGCCCGGCGGAACCCGGACCGTCGGACAGAGCAGGTGATCCCCCGGAAGGACGGCGCCACGGGGTTCGCGGATCTCTCAAAGCGGATCAGGGCGAGACCCAAGGGCCGAGCCGGGCTGAGCAGTGGACATACCGCTTCCAGCGATACCCTTTGACGAACACATCACATGGAAGTAGTGGAAAACCACCTATTTGTAGAGGAACATGGGCTTCCGAGTGGCCGTGGTCCATCTCCATGTTAGTGAGTCGGAGTGGAAAGGACACTACCTTTCTTCAGGTCCTTTGGAAATCTTCCTTTTTACACTCAATCAGTTGGCTTTCAAGTTGCAAAATCTCTGCAAACATTCACTCAACCAATGTTGTTCTGCGTTGGAAGCTGCGCAGAGCTCAGACTGCTCACCGAGGACATCCCACAGATCTACACCATGTACAATGCAGGTGTCGAGCAAGAGCCACGACCTCATTGTCAAACGGACACTGAAAGATGCCCGAAACGGACCGATCGACTCGATAGTCCGAAGACGGATCGACTCGGGGGGGACGCGTCCGCGTCCGGAGCAAATCCGAAGAAGCGAGGCATGGCAACGGTGCGGAGGAGTATTTCTATGTCTCAATGACTGGGTGAACCGAGGTTTTTCCCATGCCCTCACCCTCCGGTGTTTTATATGCACCGGGACAACACCGGAGAGTCCGACGTCAGAAGAGTAAACGTGGTCCGTGTTTACATGCGGTTACTGTCCAAAGGTTGCTTGTGTGCACAGCCATAACAGAACAGGTAGCCCGTTAGCCAGTTGCATGTTGTAGGATCACGCGCGGTTCTCCTTCTTTGCAAGTGGTGACGTGGTGTTCAATTGGCAGGCTAAGGGACATGCGGCGTCGCCGAAGAATCTTCAGATGCCAGGAACGGGGTGCGGCAGCACAAGCTACCGTTGGAGGCGCGGTTTCTGAGCTGACGGGACGGGAGTCGCTGTCGCTGTCCGCGGGTCGCTGGAACATGGCTGAACAAATGTTTCAACTTCGGAAGGTGGACCGATTCTCCTCGCAGTGGCCCAGACTTGCAAGTTCTTGGGACTTCTTCGTTTTGCCCACTCTTAGCGCGGAACCCTTTTGCTTCTTGGAACGACCCACCCGATGCCGAACGCTTCACTCGCCCCGAACGCTTCACGCCGTGCCACGAGGCCTTCCGGCAGAAGCGTGAGGAGGTGGTGGCGGAGGTGCTCCGAGCACGGACCCGCCACTGGGACAACGTGATCACCGCCACAGAGGAGCCCCAAGGGGTGTTCCGAAGCCGAGGGGTTGGAGATGGGGCATTTTTTTTTTCCATGTGCCGATGTCGACACTCATTGTGGACTGGTGATGAATAACAAGAATCACACCCCTTAGAGCATCTTAGAGCTATTGTTGTGCTTTTGATCCATGTTTTCTCAATCAATGTCAACATAATTTGGTCATCGCCCTCAGACGTCATGGATTTGAGCCAGTCTTGGTGGAGTACAATGTGGTGGCTACGGCTACCGGCACAAATGGGTTTTTGGACCTTCAACAAGGTTCCACAAGCCACCCGTTTGAGCCCTTTAGAATCATTCGTTTCCCCTTTCGATGGGTTGGGCAATGACCGTGAATCACCCTCCGCATCCTCTAAGTCCCGAACTGCTTCGGTGGATGCAAACAAGTCGTTTCACCTCCAGGATTTCTTCCTATCCTGGACTTGTCTCCATGCACCATGCTGGAGGCCCCCGCCGTAGACGGGCCACCTGTGGCCCCTCCGAGGACACCCTCCGGCAACTGGAGATGGTTTGTACCGTGGCGATGGCTGTGCGGCACCGCGTGCGGAGGCGTTGCCGAAATGCCTTTCAATTGCGATGCGTTGAGGACCGTCTGGACGGTGCCGTGTCCGTGTAGTTGTAAGGGCGATGGTGCAGAGGATGGTGCTGGAGAGATGTTCTAGACTTGGGAGGATGTTGGAGACTTGTGATTCATCTACCTCGTCAGTGGAAGTCATCCAATGTTGGAAATCACTTGAGTCATTCCAGTGATCCAGTCTGGTTTGGTGGGAGTTTAGTCCTAGCTCAAGCAGTTTTGGACCAACATGCCCAATCACTATTGTTGTGTAGCCTGAAGGAAGCAGTTGTTTAGCGTTGTTTGTTACAGCCTGAGGGCAGTCGTCCAAGAGTTACCCCCCCCCAGGATCGGTCAGGTCCGGGGTCGTACCAACGGAACTGAAGGGTGACCCCCCATCGAGGTCGGGTCGGACAGATGAATCCTTTCATGAGAGATCCAACGATGTTTTCATCTCTTCATGATCACCATAGGATGAGGGATTGGTGAAAGAGAAAAGGGAGGCGGCGAAAGGGAAGATTGGCCAAAGAAGGTGGGCCAAACTAAGTGGTGAGTTCTTGGGTACCCCCCTTTTGGGGAATTGACACATTTTTTGGGCTGTTAGTATTGCAGGAAGAAGGTGGGCCAAACTACTGGGGGGGGTTCCTAAATCAGGAGCTGACATGACTGGAGAGTATAGCTGTACAGCTGTATAGCATTGTATAGCTACCAAATCGGTGTAGCCCACCAAATCGTCGTTGTCAGCGACAGGAAGATGTTGCCTCAGTTGAAGGACATGTCTTCTTCTTCTTCTTATTCTTCTTCGTCTTCTTCTTCTTTTTCGCAGGTTAGGGACAGGCGAAAGCCAGCACAGGCCACAGGCGAAAGCCATTCTCTGTTTGAAAGACTGAGATGAACGAATCGAGTTGCTCCACCTCAGAACGAAGACTGCTGGAGTTTGTGGGAAAACCTGTCCGGCTAAGCAGGCAAAGACACGATGTGTGGTTCTGGACCTCCACCCTGCTGGGTGCGGTGCCTGAGACTGTGGGCATGTGGGGCCGATACGCAATAGCAACCAGTGTTGATTTCTTCGAGATTCGACAGGTTCCATGCCCAACGAGCAGGAGCAGTTGACGGATTTTCAGCTTGACTCTCCCAGTGTCGATCCGAGCCGATCTCGACTCCCGGGCCGTAGTATAGGTTCAAGGTCAAACGACATCCACTGGTCATGCATCATCAATGGTATCAATATGTTTGTGTATACTTCTTGTAATCACTGCAGCTTCTGTGCAGCCTCACCTTTTCTCATCATGAGCGTTTCAACACGCCGACGGAGCCCCGCCAGGCTTGCCGGCACTGGTGGCAGGAAAGTTCATCCACGACAAGTGGCCAGGCGAACGAAACCCGTTTCACGGCCCCACAGCGGAGACCGGTGGAGACATCCGTGGAGACTAACCCGACATGGACCATGTTGGTTGATCCTTGGTTGATCGCGGTGATGCAAACCATCCGCAGGCCACATCGCGAATCGGCTTTTGACCCTGATCCTTTTTTGGTGCTTTGGGTTTCCGCTGATCCTTTATGCATCTCGCCCTTCGGTCACCGGGTTGACGGCGGTTGCAGGCCAACGCTCTTTGCACCTGGGTACTGGTCTCAGCATCCAGACAGGTGAGAGTGAGAGTGAACCGTCCTCGATTCTCATCACACCTACCGCGCCGGCGGTGAACGTGGTGTTTTGGACTTCATGGGAGTTCAGTCTTTGGTCCATATCATTTTGGTCTAGCGGTGAGGATTCCGAGGACCGTGACTTTTTGAACGACCCACGAAGAAACCGCTTTCAGGACGTCGACCACTCGGCATGGATGGGGCGAAAGCAGTGTATGGGCCAATCTAGCTGAATATCATTGCCCCATCAATGTACAGCTTTGCTATTTGTCTATCTATCAAATCTATCCATCCATCCATCCACCCATCCATCCATCCATCCATCCATCCATCCATCCATCTAATCTATGATCTTAAATCCTTCCCAATCCCAGCGAAAGCACCCAGCACTTTCACGGTTGCTTTAGGTTGGCAGTCTTATTCGGCTTGGTGGTATTCTTGGTGATATTCGGGTTGAGGATTCTTATCTGGGGAGAGGATTTCAAGAATCGGTAAACTTACTGTATATATATATATAGAGAGTGTGACCAAAAACAACACGCACCCCATCCTGCAGGTGCCCTAGGAATCTTCACGAGGTATGTGTATATATAGTATATATGTATATTAATATATATATATATATACAGTAGATAGATAGATAGATAGATAGATAGCTACATAGCTAGATAGCTAGATAGCTAGCTAGCTAGGTAGGTAGGTAGGTAGGTAGGTGGATGATAGGTAGGTAGGTAACCAGGTAGGTAGACATGAATTTTAATGGAAAGCCCTTCCAATCATATAAGGTTTCTATCTTTTTTTTCCCAGGCATGGGGTCTTGAGCTCTCCGAGGCATCCTTTCAGCTGCAGCAGTCTTGTCCTTGGGCGTGGCGCGCTTCATCTGCGAGCGCCCTCCCACCCTGCAGCTGTGGGGCTGGTGTTGTGGGGCGGTGAAACACAGACAGAAACAAAAGAACTGACGTGTTTGTTTGCTGGGTTCAACAGAACCCCTGTTTGGAAGTACAAAGCCCAGGTCAGGAAGTGAAGAAGCTGAATGAGAGGATTCCAATGTTGGCTCTGACCAGAAATAAGACTCGTTGTTGTAAAGCAGCCAATGTTGCCTCTGTGCACGACTCGATGTTGCAAACCTGGCCGTTTGAGTCCTTGACCAATGAATACATCAAGATGCAAGGAAAGGGATTGCACTTTCCCACCTGGTAACGGGCTCATGTTGGATGCTCTTCTGGCCCAGCTCAAGCAAAAGTGAAGCAACGAGTGATCTTCACGTATGAGATAAGCACGATGAAGGCAGCCTTTGAAGATATTTTGACCCCTCCCTTTCACGGCTTTTCTAACATCCAATCTATATATGTATACATATTATACAGTAATCAGTAGTAGTCAGTAGGTCCGTAAGTAGTGATATTCATTGATATTCCAATCAATCTAGTTACGGTGGACCATATTTTCAACAGCAATTCTGTCTGCGATCTTCCTCCGTCTGAACCGAGAAATCCTGTCGTTTTTCTTCCCCGAACGCCAAAGAACGGCAAAGACATGGCAGTGGACTATGCCAGGAATCGGATCGAAGGAACTGATTTTGTAGGCGTTCCCCACCCAAATCGAAGCCACTGGGTGTTCGAAGTGCCACTGATGCCCGGGCCCGTCCCAGCCTTCCGATCCTGATGTGCAGCTGTGCTCCCACTGGGCCAACGCCTGTGGGCGGCGCCACGCCGGGGGGCGATGGCAGTGGAGCCAGCTATGAGAGCTTTGTCACTGCACAACTGGAGATCCTGCCACTTGGGCGGAGGATGCACTGCCTCCATCGGTCAAATCAAGGAACCCCCAAACAGCCTCCGAAAACAATGACCTGGGACTTCTGCAAGGGAGTTCTGGTGACACTGCTTGCCTTCTTCAATTCCAGCACTTACTTCAGCATGAAAATCCGAAAACTTGCGACTTGCGTCGAGGCGTCAGAACTTGCTTCAGCACTATGAGACTGAGATGAGAGGACTCTCCAAGCCCTTCTTGCGATCAGCCACGGAGGCCGAGCGTTTTTCCCCAAGTCTAGGTGCTCCTTCATGGGCAGGAGCCTTTTGGGGCGACCGAGACGACTGCCAGGGCGACTCCGAGAATGGTTTGGGCGACATTGAAACATGAGTGAAGCTGACACCTCTTGTATAAGACAAGTAAACCATAATTAGAATCAAGTCATGTGCAAATAGATCGGACAGAATTCAAGTCTGCAACACAGCAACACAGCAACACCTTGTGGACGGCACCTGGCACATTCTGGCCAAGCACTAGAGTATTTTTTCTCGGACAGTTAGTGCTAGTCTACGAATCAGCTCACCACGTTCCATCATGATGAAATGACCCTACAAGTCCAGTCTGACCCGGTAAAACCGGGTCTTTTACCCTCTGAGTATTGGCTTTGTATGACCATCTCCAGTAAAATGAGGCCTTTGACTTGTTGAGTGGGGTCAGTTCCATTTCGATGAGATGAAGCGAGATTTGAGAACAGGTCGGATTGATCCTATGTTAGTGATACTTTTCGGCTAATTGGACCAAGATATGACATGCATTCCCATGCTGTAGGTTCCGATGAGTCTGGACTGGCTCTTTTTTTTTCACATAATCTTGAGCTTGGATGTGGGGACTGTCTGGCTCGTGACGCGCCGTTCGCGGACTGTCTGGCTGGTGACTGCTAGGGCGAAAGCATTGGCGTGGCGAATCTTGAAGTGTGCGGCGATGGCGCGGAGGAAGAGGAGGAGGAGGAAGAGCCTGTGCCTTTCCGCTGGCTTGAATTGATCCTTGGACTGGGGTTAGAGTTGTTTGGAGATGGTTGGAGTGATCGATTCGGTTTGAGAGGTTGTTGATGGTGACATTGGTGATACCCTCCTTCCCACCAACATGGACCTGGAAACATATCATAGAGGCAACTAGTCTTCGAAGGGGCCATTGATCCCTTTGGTGAAGTTCCTTCCTTCACATCGGATGGAAGCTGGTGTCCCTTGTAGTCAAGACGTCCACCGGCATGCCCATCGACACGCACCGACGCTGGGCGACCGGTTCAGCCATGGCCTCACATGGGACGGAATCGCAGGAGCCTGCGAAGGCAACAGCCTTGTCATGGTAGTCGTGTAGGCCCTGCTGATCAAGAGGCTCAACCTACGATGTACGTGCAATCAGATGCAGAGGGACAATGCACAGCACGCCTTGCAGATGTGTTGGTGCAGCCCTCCACATTGAAATCCATTTTTTCAACTGGCCCTTCCAGCATGTTGAGTATCTCCAAGCATCTCAAGAGGTGTGCACCAATAACGCGTCAGAAAGCCATTTGTGTTTGTTGGGAACGCGCCCTCAAACTTGTCACCTGTTAACTCGGGAGGCCGTTCACTCAGTGAGTTGGAACATGCTCTTTTCCAGCTACCCTCCTAATCATCAAGCAAGTTTCGTCATTCATAGAGAATGCACCGCTACAGGTGGCTTAAGCGCGCGAGAATAACGTGACGTGAAGCTGTGAGTAGGGTGTGCACCAACCTTGCTCTCAGCAGCATTCAAATCTTGCCAGAAATTCAGTCAAAGAGAGCACCTTGAACAGTCATGATGTCCCCACCAGGGCACAGTTGATCGTCGGTGTCTTCGCAGAAAAAGACGGATGAATGCTCGCAGGCTGGATATCCAAAGTCCTGAGTAGGATTGAGTATATAGGTGGATGCATATCAGAAAGGGTGGTTGGAGCAGAGGACAGGGGTTGACTGTTTGACTCAACTATATAGCTTAGGCTGTGCGTGGTTTGAGTTCGACTGCTTTCGCTGCTGTCTCCCCAAGCGCGCTGAAGTCAGTACTTCGAACCTCATGGCCCAAACGAAAAGGGCGTGTCAATCACGAAAGACGATCCACAAGGGCCGATCCCATGGAGGTCGAACTCTCCCAGCGTTGCGAAGACGGTGACCCACCGTCGTCGAAGTCTACCGCGCACGGTGGGCCGCCGACCGCGTACCGACCTCTGAGGACCGCGCGTGTGTTGGAAGCGTCCGAGGCTGAGGCAGTGACAAGGGCGTCGGTTGAAGGGACTCAGGGGGCCCAAGGACGCTTGTAGGAGCAAAGGGCATCGCAACTAGGAGCAAGGAAGCCACGAACGTAGCTCCTCGCCTTACGACTAGGAGCAAGAAGCTACTAGTAATACAAAGGTTGAGTCCTCCCCAAATCGGTTACAGATTGAGACTCGGGGGTTCTTTGTGCTTGATAGCCCACAAAGACAAACCGAGCTTTTGCTGCAGCTAATAGCGACTTTTCATCTAGAAAGACGGCTTTGGGATTCCGACATGCTGCTGGAGTGATCTGGTTGGTCCACCATGGATGGTGCTTTGGGACATATATCCCTGTGATCGGACATCGATTCGTGATTTGGGGGAGGACATCTGCATCATTAATTACCACGCATACTTTCAGTATAGCTCAAAGAATGGGCAACATAGTATTATATAACTATATAACAATAATATATAATTCATGGGATATGATATAGTTTTATGGATCATCATGCATCATCATCTCATGAACCCCCCCCAGCAGATGCACAGAACAAATTAAACTGTCCAATGTATTACTATGTTCATAGAAAGAGGTGTCTTTTTGGGAGGCACCCAAATCCTCCCCAGCGGAGACACCCCAGGTGGAAGAAGCCTTTGGTGGCTGGGCCCTTGAAGAGCTGCGCATGCGGCCAGTTTGGAGCATCTCACTACAGGACGACCAGACCTCCCACCTAAGAGCGATGGCCTCCAACCTAAGAGTGATGGCCTCCAACCTAAGAGCGATGGCCTCCAACCATGACCGTCCGGGGATTGAAGCGTCCCACCCGGGACCAGCGTCCGAACCTTGGGCCACGCAGCCGGTGCTGCGCCATGCTGCGCCAGGGGTTTTTCCGCTGGGGGCGCCTCCGTGCACCGAAGCTCGCGGTGCCGCCAGGACCTACGTCGCCGCAGCCGTCCCCGGAACTTCCGCACGAAGCTCACGAACGAGCGCCGCGACGGGAGGGTCGGACTTGGAGCGAGACGGGGAGGGTCTCCATGTTTTCCAAAGAAGGTGCTCCTAGTAGCAATGCCAGGAGCCCCTAGTAGCGTCTTTGCTCCTAGTAGTAAGGCCAGGAGCCCCTAGTAGCTTCTTGTTACTAGTAGTATGGCCAGGAGCCCCTAGTAGCGTCCTTGCTCCTAGGTTAACCTCAGCTGTTCCAGCGGCCTTTGAAGGCACCATTCTTGCTGGATTTTGTGCACCTTTCCTTCTCCCAAAGACTCGCCTCACGCTAGGCAAAAAACAGTCATTCCAGAGGCCGCAGGGAATCGTAAGCCAGAAATGATTTGAAACGACCCCCCGGTGCAGAAGGGCTGGTGCAGAAGGGCAGGCCGACAGGAAGGCCCAGGCTGGCTTCTTGCACTTCCTTGTGCATCTTAGGATCATCACCATGAAGATGAATGCTCCGATGCGTGAGGCGCGCCGATTTCGGCCACAAAGTGTGAAGTCGTTCTTTGGAGTGGTCTACTTGACTCAGTCGCTCATCAGAACCATAGGCTAAGGGTTGTTCTTTGACTCCATACTATTAGTGTCCCTGGACTCTCTTTGGAGGCTCCTCGAATCTCAGGGGCTCAAAGGGTGTGTCACTTCGGCCAAAAGAGTGGCTCATGGTCGCTGGCCATGATCGACTGCGATGGTGTTTTTTGTGGGTCCTTTGGATAACCGAAGAGTCCGTGATCGACACGGTCGGAACCTACTTGCGATGGACGTTCACGTCCTGACACATCACCATTTGAGTCGAAACAAGGAATGCATTCTAGCACATTCTAGCTGGCATCAGCCTCACCAGCCACCCACCCATCCCACTCACCCACCGCCACGGTGGCCACCCCGCCCGAGAGCTGGAACTCGCCGTCGACACCCTGGAACTCGCTTGGCAGTGCGCAGTCGATACTCGTATCATACGTAGAAATGGCAGAACGGTTGCCGTACAATGGAGCATCTAAATGAGGCTGTGAGCCCTTTTTCCTGGATGAGTCCGACTGCTCCCTTCCCTTCACTCCTTTCCTCACCAACCCTTGGCTGCCAGTATAATGATAGCGAAAGGTGACAGCTTTTGGAAGCCTAGGGTTGATTGGAGAAGAACAACATGGGCCACCATTTTTCACGGCATGATTATTTTTTTTATCAACGATATCTCATACAACGTGATGATTCTGCCTTGACTTTTTGGTATGTATATTGGACATCATTGTGAGCAAGACGCGCTTTGACCATGGGCTTTGTGCAGAATCACATTGTCGACTCTCCTAAAGTCCAAAAGGATGCAGAGCATTCCAAGATTTGCATGACACGAAACATGTTGCTGCGTGTTGCTGCCAATGAAGATATTGTGTCTATGATCGGAGCTGCTTCCAGTTCCTGTGAAATGGCTGGTTCATTTGTATTCGTACGCGGAGGCTTTGCAGTTGATTGTTATTTTTGCTGCGTTGTTTAACTTGATTGCGAGGACGACACACTTTGATAGGCCTTTTGCAGAATCATATTGTCGACTCTCCTAAAGGATGCAGAGCAATCCAAGATTTGCAAGGGACATGTTTCATGTTGCTGCCAATGAAGATATCGTGGCTATGATCGGAACTGGTTCCAGTTCCTTGTGAAATTGCTGTTTCATTTGTATTCGTACGCGGAGGCTTTTTCTTTGTTGTCGTTTTAGGCAGCGTTGCGAGGAAGACAAAGTGTGGTAGGCTAATTCCAGAAGCACATTGTTGACTCTCCTAAAGCAAGCTAATTTAGTCATCTTGTCAAAGAGTTTCACATGTTCTTGCTTGTGAGGATACCATGTACAAAGCCTGGAACCGATTCTGGTCACTCATGAGATATACTTTTGATAGGCCTTTTGCAGAAGCACATTGTCGACTCTCTCTCGCTCTCTCTTGAACGATCCAGGGTTGTGGGAGAGCTGTTGTGTACAGATTGTAGTGACCCTATTTGGTCTGGCCTAGCTTCCATTGCACAAGGTACTGCTGATGCTTGTGTGCTTGATGATTGTCTGGGTGGTTGCATTGTTGTTATCGACCCTTTTGAAATTTGAGGGCCTATGTGGAATTGGATCAGGCTGCGAGGAAGACAAACTTTGATAGGCCGTGTGCAGAAGCACATTGTCGACTCTCCTAAAGGATGCAGAGCAACTCAAGCGGCTCCCTACAAAGATGCTTCTACGTTTAGAGCTGTCTTGAAATGCTTGCGATTTATTTGTATTCATACGCCGAGGCCGCTGAGGCATAGTAGTTGACTACTTGGTGCTGTGTTGAACATGATTGCGAGGAAGACAAACCTTGATAGGCCTTTTGCAGAATCATATTGTCGACTCTCCTAAAGGATGCAGAGCAATCTAAGATGTGAATGGCATATTTCCTGTTGCTGCGTGCTGGCAATTAAGATATTGTGTCTACAATCCGAGCTGCTTGCAGTTCCTCGTAAAATAGCTGGTTAATTTGTAGTTGAATGTTTGTTTCTGTGTTGAGTTTGCGAGGAAGACAAACTTTGATAGGCCTTTTGCAGAATCATATTGTCAACCCTCCTAAAGGATGCAGAGTAATCATCGGCTATCCAAGATTTGCACGAAATGCGTTTCATTGTTGTTGCCAATGAAGATATTCTGTCTATGATCGGAGCTGCTTCCAGTTCCTTGTGAAATGGCTGGTTATTTTGTATTCGTACGCGGAGGCTTTGCAGTTGACAATTTGTTGCTGTGTTGAGCATGATTGCGAGGAAGACAAACTTTGATAGGCCTTTTGCAGAATCACATTGTCGACCCTCCTAAAGGATGCAGAGCAATCCAAGATTTGCATGAGACACGTTTCATGTTGCTGCGTGTTGCTGCCAATGAAGATATTCTGTCTATGATCGGAGCTGCTTCCAGTTCCTTGTGAAATAGCTGGTTATTTTGTATTCGTACGCGGAGGCTTTGCAGTTGACTTTTTGTTGCTGCGTTGAGCATGATTGCGAGGAAGACACACTTTGATAGGCCTTTTGCAGAATCACATTGTCGACTCTCCTAAAGGATGCAGAGCAATCCAAGGTTTGCATGAGATGGTTTTGATGTTGTTGCTCACAAAGATATGGCGGCCATGATTGGGGCTGATGATTATCAGCTCCTTGGGATATGGCTTTTTGATTTGTATGTTGTACACAGAGGCCATATGTGGTTCTTTTTCTTTTCTAGACTGGTCATCCTTCCAAGCACAGCTATCGAAGAGCCATGTGGAGAAAGGGAGATTCCTAACTGAACTGGCAAGCAAGGTTTCGTTCAGTTGACTGCTGTGGATCTCCCACAAATGTGCCGCACAAGTGTGGTACTTGTAGTGTGTAACATGGATATCTACCACTCAAGTCGGATTATGACACTGCACAGAGAGTGCAGCCTGAAAAACAGCAGGACAGCTTGGTAGGATGTTCGGATTTGGTGCTGCGCAGCTTCCATAGAGTGCACTGCAAGCGGTGGCAGAAGCATGAGCCTTGAATTTTGGCAGGACTTGGATTTTTCGGCCTGAAATGATAGCCCAATCCTTTCGCCCCACCCACCTCCCGGAGAAGTGGTCGGACCGGTGGTCGACTGAGCCGACTCTAGGCGGCGACAGTGCTTCAGGGCTTGGTGTTGAAGCCCAATAGCTGGCAGCAACTTCTGTGGACCACCATCGGCGCTTTGCTGCTCCTTGCTTTGAGCCGAGAGGAGCTACATCTCGTTCGTCTGAACAGCCGAAGAAGTCAAGAAGGAGTTCGGGCGGACGAGACAGGTTGAGGTGCAGGTCTTTGGATCATTGCTTTTTCATCTTGGAACTTCAGGTCAACATGTTGCGACTTGTTTGCTTGTGTTGGAAGACCATTTTATCGCAAATCTTACTTGAGCGGGCCATGGCACCCAAGACATTGTTGAGTGGGGATTGTAAGCAATTGCATCACTAACGGATTCTAACCTGTATCAATAGCAAGGCGCAGAGTTGGAGCAGGAGGGACCATCCGCAAGTGCCCTCATGAGCATTCTCAAGGATGTTCTACTTTTGGCAAAAAAAGGCGTCATGGAGTGACCGTCCGACATACTATCCCAGTATATCCCAGTCTGACCGCTTCTTGACCCCGTGAGACAGCCAGTGACCCGTGTGTGACTTCTTCCGGTTCCAAGCTGGAGCGGGTGATTCCCTCTGATTCCAAGCAGTGTGTTATGTGGGTCATATCTGGAACGGGTGATCTTCTCCGAACATTTCACGACTCCGGTCGCGTCCCGGTCGATGGACGTCGTTGCCGGCGCCGGCGGCTCCGAGGATTTTGTGGGATTTGATCACCATCCCCTTGGGCTTCTTCAACCTGCCCCAGCTGCTGACCCGAACATGTTACCTCCCTGACACTCCATGGGACTGGCATATTTACATATATTTACTGTAATGACATATATTTACGTACTGAAACCACCCCGGACCACCTCAATTGTAAGTATTCCACACATGGAGTGTTTGGGATTATGGAGGGAATGGGCCGCCGATTGCGTTGGAAACGGACGACGAGATTAGGAGCAAGCTTTGTGGGGGGATTCAAGCATTCAGTTCCTTTCTGACCTCAGAAGCCAAAGCTTGATTTTCCTAGCAAATAGAGGACACCCAAATCTTCTGAGTGGTCAAACACCCACATTATGGACATATCAGGCGAAACATGAACTGTTTACACGGCGGGCTGTAGTCATTTGCCTTTTCCCTTGAACTCACCACTCTTGCATATATTGTCCACCATGGCGTTGAACCGAGCAGACAGGATCACGAGCCAATCGTTGGGGCGAAGAACACATCGCGAGCCAATCGTTGGCTAAAAACGTGTTCGTTTTTTCCCTGTCCTCCACGAACGATTGCGTAGATTGTAGAATCCCGGTATATTATACCCATTCTGGCCCATTCTTTTTTCTCAATGGCTGGGTGGGACGGAGTAAAGACCAAAATGGATGCCGAGGCGCTGTTTTTGGCCAAAGGACATATCATGACAATTCACGACATATAAATCGTCCACCAAAGCCACAACTGAATAGGTAGCAACAGTTTTTCCTGAACCGTGGTAAGAGGCAGCAAGACCAACCATTGCAACAAAACAGCAATAAAAGCGGTATATAAAACAACCAAACAACAGCAAAACAAAATAATAGTAGCAAACATAGCAAATGCAAACGGAACACAAAAACAATTAGCCCAGCTGGAGACCCCAATAGCAAGATACAAACCGGGACAAAAAGAAAAATCTGAAAACAACTGCTGTTTTCAACACATCGACCATTTCTTCCTTGGAGACCATCATTACATAACCGGGACACCATCACAAAATGACCAGGACACCATCAAAACATGACCGGGACACCATCACATGACCGGGACACCATCACAACATGACCGGGACACCATCACAACATGACCGGGACACCATCAAAACATGACCGGGACACCATCACAACATGAACGGGACACCATCAAAACATGACCAGGACACCATCACAACAGGACCGGGACACCATCAAAACATGACCGGGACACCGTCACAACACGACCGGGACACCATCACAACATGACCGGGACACCATCACATGACCGGGACACCATCACAACATGACCGGGACACCATCAAAACATGACCGGGACACCATCCGCCCACCAGCTCTGACGGTGACCCGACGGCGCCCGTCCGCCTATTAGTTTTGCAAGACCCCATAGCATAGCTATTGGGGAACAAGACAGCAACACATTAAATCACCGATTTCCAACCCTGGCTAGATAAACATCTCATAAGCTTAACCCAAGCCGTAACAGTCCGTGGAGAAGGGACACTTGGATGGCTTTGTGACGTAAGATCCAGGAGGAGCAATCTCCGAGCAGTTCTGCGGTTCTAACAAGAAGCGAAACGAACGTAGCACGGGCATCGCCACTAGTAACAAGGGCATTAAACACAGGCTTCTTGCTACTAATAGCGATGCCCTTGTTCCTAGTGGCTTCTTGTTCCTAGTAGTAATGCCCTTGTTAGTAATAGCGATGCCCCTGCTACGTTCGGTTCGCTTCTTGTTACGTTCGGAGTCTGAGGGAACCGCAGAACTGCTCGGAGATTGCATTGGGTCCCATTGCTATCTCTCCATTTTTGGTGCTGGGAAGGGGGTCGTCTTAGGGTTGGTTCAAAAAGGCAGAGCTTTTGGCGAGACCTCAGGCCAAGGACGTACTAAGAGGGGGCTCATCAAGTCCTTGGAAATTCACCATTGATTTTGCGTGGAAGACATATGGTTGCTTCAAAAGTTGAATGAATCAAGGGGGAACTTATATATTCATCATTATTCATCCGGTGTCATGTATCAGCTTGTGTTTGTTTAGTCATCAGCTCGTCTCTTTCAGTTTTCAGTGTACGGGTCACTGATCGAGCAAGCAGTGTCTTTGTCTTCCCCTGTCTGGTCCCAACTCACATTTGATAGGCCTATTGCAGTGCAGATTTTGTCGGCAAGCCAAGGTTCTTGGACTTCCTCACCATCTTCGCCCGAGTCTCCTTCGCCTACTGGAGAGGGGTTCAACTGCGGGGATGAAACGTGTCAATATTCTGCTGGGATCAGCAAAGACAACCACATGACATGAATGAGTTCAGTTTCAGCCCAAGTGAATTAGTGTAGTTTTGTTCACGTTTCTTTTTTCGCATTCGGGCCCATTTTTACAGCATACACTGCACATCAACCACTGCTCAGCCCCACATCACTTCAATCCATACTTGACGGAATGAAACAACAACAATTTATGAATCATGGTAGATCTTCACTTCCTTGCTGTGCCTTTTCTCTTTGCTGCAGACCTTTTGTCCGGAGGATCATCGACATGCCTCTGCATGTGATCTTCGGCACAGAGATCAACGGGGCACAGGAGTTGAGACCTAAGAAGTTGCTGAAGATGTACCTACGCACCTCGACCCGAGCGAGAAAACACATCCATTCTGAACTTCTGGACCGTTGGATTGGGATGGGTGGAATTCATTGGGGTAATTACTGTAGGTCACTGGGTTTTGTGTCGGTCACTGGGTGTCCTTTGATGTGCATCCGATTGTTCTGTTGGGTGAAGCGGTCTGCAAACCGTGCCGGCTCGAGTGGTTTTTGAGGCCGCGTGAGATGTGTTGGGTGTAGTTGCAGACTGAGTTTGTTTGGGTTTGGTGCACATGAAGCCTATATATACGAATCCGCAGACGATCCATTGTGTCTGGCAGACGAAACACACCTTCTCAGGCAGGTAAAAAAAAGAACACAAGGACACTCGATGGCACAATGGCACACCTGCATTATTTTGGAGAGGTTTTGATTCACTCACGATGTTTCAAGGCCTTGGTGTTTTGGTGTTTTGTTTCGGGGAGCTCAAACTGGCTCGTCCACGCGACTGAGTGGACTCCCCGTCTGTCTCAACGCTGCGGCGGCTCTCGGCCCTGCTGGAGGTTCCTGGTTTTTGATTGATCTGATGATCATCAGCATCGATGCGGTCATTATTATTCTGGAAGTATTTCAGGAGAGAGTGAGGGTTTCAGGTGTCCGCAGGTGTCCGCAGTTGCCTTAAGGCCGCATTCCATGTGAGACTCTGCCTGACTTAAAACTATAAAGCAACAGGCTGCTTCCTACAGCACCATTCTTTTCGTATTGCTTACACAAGGTATCATCTAGAATCTAGAATCATGTGCAGCGACGCCTCCCAATGTGTGAAAATCACCTCAAGAGAAGGACTGAGGGGTGCAGGTAGTAGATGGTAGATGATGGTAGTAGGGTGAAGGGTATACTTCTGTTTTATTTGGAACTTCGACGTGTGACCTCCGCACTTCAAAGTACGACTCGCCGTGTTGTAACCTCCCACTGGTCACCCTCGGAGGTTTGGAACAGGACTGGTCGTCCACGGAGGGACCACGGCGGTGATGAGACACATAGAGGGTCAGATGGCTCGACTGCCGCACCCCAAGCACATCGAGAGTAGGCTTCTGGTCAGATGGCTTCGTGGGCACAGTATCCACAAAACGATCGAATCTATGAAGAGCCTTAGTGAAAGGGTCAGCTAGAATCAGCTGGAACGCTCCAAGAAGTAGATGGTCGAGGACGGACATTCAATCATTAGAGAAGGAATGAACAATGAGCCATTGATCCCTCAATGAAAGAACGCTCATTGACCTGTTACTTTGTGACTTGGGACCACCTTAATGAGATGGTGTTCCCGAACATCTTTCTATATAACATGATTCCTTGATTTTGTTTGTGACTTCCCACAGCGAGAACTGTGAGGAGACCAGTGACGAGTTCTCCATGTGGCGCTCCGCGCGCTTCTTCCGCGCCCTCCGCCTGCTGCGGCTGCTCCGGCTGCTGCGCGTGACGAAGCTCCAACAAGAGGCGCCGGTGGTGCGTCGCGTCCCGAGCGAGTGAAGCCCGGCTTGTCGGTGACAGGTGGTGACCGGTGGTGAGAGAGGCATAGGTTCTTTATGATTCTTTCATTTGCCTGAGCATTCGTCGAAGAGAAGCCAGTGCAACGATGCCACCTGTTCATGAAGCGTTCTGAAAGGGCTCTTTGGATTGGCAAGGAACGAATCGAAGAGCCACACCTCTTTTTTTTGACTTTGCAGCTGTTTGAGGTCTGTGACCGCCAGCTTGGAGCCACACCTCCTACAATTTTAAATTTGGAGTCATAGCAACTTGCATCCAGTCCTGCTTGCTAGGTGATGGTTGTGGCAAACCGTTTTCTCTCAACGAACGCTTTCTTGGTACTCAAGGCCTCGTTGGGCAGCAAGGGAAGCGGGGACGCAGGTGTATTGTGCGAGTCTTTGTTGAGAGAGCCACGAACATGTTAGCGTCAAGTTTTTGCATAAAATGGTAACTTTTGGAGTGAGAATGTGCAAAGGCTGCAAAGGGCCTCGAAAACGAAGCCGGAAACAAAGAAACGAAGCCTCCTCCTGGGACTCGTTTTCAAATTGTCTTGTCTTCAGGCTTCAGGGCTTTGCGGGCATAAAATGGAGTTACTTGTAACGAAGCCTAAATGAAGCCAAAACAAACGAAAAGGGTCTTTGGGAAGTAGACACTGGACCAAATGCCCTGGACAAGAGATTAGAATCGATTGTGCCCCGGGCTCTTGAATGATTCTGTGGTGCTGTGCTTTACATTGAAAAGCACAGTGGTAATCCAACTCACCTTGCGAACAAACAGAGCATGGTAGCTCAAGTGGTACAAATCCTTGGAAAACGAAGCCGGTAACACAAAAAAAGAAGCCTCAGTAATAGCAAACGACCAAATTTGGAATGTTCACTTTCAAGGTTGCTTGAGGTCCCGCCCCTTCACTTTCTAGGATCGTTTGGTCTGGAAGCCCGGGTTCGCGTCGGGCGCCTCTGGCGCCCACGGTCTTTCACCACGGACCCCCGATGTTTGCACGCGACCTCTGAAAAGGCACCAGTGAAACTCACCTGGTCCTTGAAATATGGAGTAGAGTGGGCAGTTCTAGCCTTCTCAAGACTCTTCGTTCAAATGCCAAGTTGATAAAAAGACAGAGCAAAGCACTTGCCTAGAACAGTCATTTAGGGACAAGTTTGCCACGAGTTCCGAGTTCCTGCGTTTTGCTGGAAGGAAACCAATTATGCAACATAGGATACATTCGCGGCCCATCTCTGTCGTTCAGACACCGTGTCTCTCGGGGTTGCACCTTGCTTCACCCTTTCCCACAACGGCAGAGCCCCTCTGTTCCAGCGAAACGGAACGGGGGGTCCCTTTCAGACAGTCCGAAAACCACCCGTAACCCCATGATCCACCATCTCCGCCTTTTGCTCCTCTGCCTTGATCCACAACTGGCTCGGACGCAGCGATTCTGAGATCGGCGGGGGCATCTTCATGATGCTCATCACGAATCACATCATCGCGTGCTGCTGGCCGCTCGGACATCGGATGGGATCATCGCTGGCTGGTGAGAGGGAGCAGACAGGATCGTGAAGCGTGGACATTTCCCGAGCGGTGTGGAACAAGCCACTGTTTTTTGAGGCCTGGAGGGCTTTGCGCACGAGCGCACTTTTTGGTGGATCCAAAGTCACCGTGGTCTCCGGGTTGCCCGCAGACCGAGAAGGAAGTCAACGAAGAAAACTGGTGGATCCACATGCTTCAGGTATTTTCAAGTCCTATTCGTCTTGTTTCTCACTCACTTGAAGAATTTGTGGACCCTCCAGGTTGCAGGGACTTGTAGTAGCCTCAAACGCAATTCCCTGTAAGTTCACAGTACAAACTTAGTTTGAGTATCAAAAGCCCTGATTTGCTCCATTGATTTGAGGGGCCTCAGGTCTACAGCCCTCTTAAATAAAGGCCGTCTCATCGACTTCTCCAGGTTCGGTGTGGGCACCTTCGGGCGTGAAGATGGACATGGCTGGTTGGTCAACTTCCAGATGAATGAAAACACAGGCGGGTCCCCTCGGCGGAAACACAACTACAGGTGAGGCGAGACAGACACCGTGGTGGGTGGACATTCCGGTGGCAGCTGTGGGACAGATTACAGTAGCTAGGACGCTATTAGGTGGAGGCCATCGCTGGTTGGAGGCCATCGCTACTAGGGGCAATGAGCTATGACGTTTGTTTTGAAGTTCTGATCCGTTTGAGTGGATGGGTGGAGGTGGGGTGGGTTGAGGTCAAAGAACTTGCGACAAGAGTGCACGCACTCCCTCTACATCCAAAAGGAAGGATTAAACTTGTATTAGAGATGATGGTATGCATTGAGATGAGGCCAGTGTCTTCAGACGGCAGAGTCTGCCAAGGAGCAAACAAGCATGGCTGTTCTTTCCAATCTTCTTTTTCAATGCATGTATTCTTTCCAAGGACGAAAGATATATGATATTTATTATATATTATATTCATCCACCCCGGTGGGTCCAGAAAGCAGCACCTCCCAGAGACTGGTGTCCGCGTCCCATTCCCGACCTCGTCTCCGCACGGTGTCGATGCGGCCGCGGCAGACTTCCCCGAGTCCTACGCGGCGGCGCTCCATTGGTCGCTGACACAGTTCACCCCGGCCACGAACAACATCGCACCGGACAACGTGACCGAACGTGCCGCCGCGGTAATGGACGGCCTGCTTGACCCGGTGGGTTAGTTCTCTTGATGTAAAGGTATGGGCTGCGGAGGAGGATGAGGATGTGTCTCTCATGTCTCAGGCTTTGTTGCCAGAGGTTTATTTTTTTTTGTAAGAACATCGGCTGCATGATATCAGCTTTGGATGAGATCCCATCTGGGGTAGGAGTGACATGAAGAACAGAGCTGGGCTTAACGAGAGGAGCTATTTGCCCGTATGGTCTTCTCGTTTGGGAATGACTTGTCCACCTTCGGTCACTGAAACAAAATGGACAGCTCCTCACATGGACCACCAGGACTTCATCCATGGTCTTTTTTCCATTCTTTTGGGGGACACCTGGTCGCCATCCAAAAACCCCTTCCTCATCCCCTCAAAACCTAAGACCATCTCTGAGGCATCTTCGCTGTGGTCGTGATCCTGGTGGCTGTGATCATCTTCAGCTCCTTCATCGCCTCGATCTCCAGCACTTTGAGCCATGACGAAAACCACCACCGATGGCGGGGTTGAGGAGCCCACGCCGCTGGATTTCCCTAAGAATGCTAAGATGGCATATACCACTTGGACCAACGTTTGTCTTCTTGAAGGTTCTAAAGAGAACCCCCTAGAACCCTACAAGAACTACACTGGCCACGTGAAATCCGGCTGCGGCTAATCCACATATGAGCAACCGCCAAAATTGGCAATGAGAATTTAGCAAAGAGCCATGAAACTTGCAAAAGCATTTGCCCCCCCGTCAAAAGCAATAACATTCTTTCCGCAGTTTTTGGATATGTTCAGCTATGTAACCTGCAAAAAGATATCCTTGTCTCATATTAAAATAAAGATGATATAAGACCGGGCAAGAAGATCAACAGAATCACTTTCTTCCTTTTGAAGAAGTCACAATGATTGGATCCAACCGTAGGCACGCATGATTGACAGAGAGGAGGTCTCAAACACTGTAAGCCATGACTTATCGCCGAGCACTCTAGAAGCTAAGAATACAACTTGCTGTTGCCGGAGCCCTCTTCTGACAGAATTGCCGTTGTTATGGTCTTATTTTCATGGGAAAGCATCTTGTTTGTTTCGCTTTTCAGGCCACAGCTCGCTTTTCCTGCTGTCGGGTTCATCCTCCCATCACCGAACAGATCCAGAACGTTCCACCGATTCCAGCAGTGAGGGGTCTGTCACGTTCTGACAAGGGAATGAGACCAAACCATACCAAACCTCCTCCAAGGGTTCACGAAGACTGAGCAAGGCGAATATCATGAGTGGTGAACATGACAACCTTTGTCAGAAATCAAGACACTTCACAGATACTGTCCATTAGCTGATGAGAGACCTGGCTGTTTTCCTTCCACTGAAACGGCTGTTTTCCATTGCTCCCAGGCTCTGGCAGGATGGGGTAACGGCAACGACACCTGTTCCATGTTCCTTTGGAGGGGAAAGAACTCGTTTCGGCAATCCCTTTTCGATCACCAGGACATAGGTCGGCCGGGCGGGGTCCTGTCTGAGCGGGTTTCAACTTTAAGCTTACTCAGCGTTCGTAGCGTTCTTGCTCCGTTCGTAGCGACGCCCTTTGCTCTTAGTAGCTTCCTGTTCATAGTAGTAGGGCCAGGAGCCCCGTTCGGAGCGTCTAGTTGCCAATTGCTAAATTCTAGGTCATCCTGAAGTAGATACAGTAGTGATTGTGGATCCCTCAAATTCATGCCTTGCGTCGTGTGGCACAAATCCGGGCCGTAGATCGAGGAACGCCTTGCGCGTCTCCCGCGTGGCGCACTCCAAGCAGTATATGAACCTCTTCCAGTTCTTCAATGAGAGGACCAAGAAGGGGGAACGGTTAGTATGAGATTTGTCCCTGACATTGACACATTGTTTGACATTGAAGATATATACATATTACATCATATTACTCATTATATCTATATATATATATATACATTGACTATATTCTTGCACGGGCCTGGGCTGATGAAAAAAGAGGAGAGTCTCATCTAGATGACCTGTCTCACGGCCAGGAACCTCTCCGTGAATCTTTATGGAAAGGTGAAGGAGGCGATGTGAGCTGGAGTGCAAAAGCTTCAGTAGCTTCCAGCGCCAGTTCTGAAGCCTGAAGCCCCTAAGGACGTTCTAACCTCTGAGATTTGGAAGTCAGCCATAGAACTTATATACATATTTCTTTCCGCTACACTGTAGAAACCTGCAGAATGTAGAAGCTCTACTAGTCTAGTAGTTGATGAGGTCCTTCATTTCCGGTATTTTCTTCTCTCTCTCTCTCTCTCTGTCTTACATTTAAATCGGTTTGATCTAACGGATTCATATGTCGATTTGGCTGGTGTTCTCTTTTTGGTCCGGCGGTCCGGTCCTGTCGATCTCGACGCAAGCAGGGAAGTGACTCGTCCAGCAACGTCAAGCCAGCCACCGCCACAGATCAAGCATCCAATCTCATCCAACCAATCAAGAAATCACTGAAGGATCCAGTGGACAAATAAAGCCACCTTATATACTCATCCATTCTTTATTGATCGATCACCTTCATCCGGCACTCGGTTCACATGATCGACGGCACTCGGTCCGTCAGTCCGGCACTCGGGACCTCGGTTCTCGGCCCCGGGACCGAAGAACAGGTGCTCCGGACCGAGAACCTGACCATGCGGATTCAAGAGCCGCTGGCCAGAGCGGGGAGCGAGCGAGCGAGCGAGCGTTCGCAACAGCGGGGAGGGTGGAGGTGTAACGGTGTAACTGGCGAGGTGAGGCGTGGCGTTTCGAAGCGGTGGTGGATCCAACTGCGCCGCACGAAGACACCGAAAAGAAACGAAACAAAAACTGGGAGATACGAGAGGTTGACCCTGCCGCGCCGTGCCGATAACGTGTCGATGCAGTTTGGGAAAGACCTCCACTTGGTGATTTCTATAGGTTGACCCTGCTGCTGCATGCTGCTGCTACAGCTGTTCTTTATTGGGGGAATAGAAAAAAACATCATCTGTGTCACAGCTTGCCCATGCCATGGACGGATGGTTTATGATGGTTTCTTGAGGCAGAAAGGTCACATGATGTGGGTGTGCAAGACGTACTCTTTTGTAGAAGATGGCGACGACTTTCGATTTGGGACTGAGTGTGCCTCTTGTTTTGAATTAAACATTTGGTGATTGTCGTTGTGTCGGATGTGAATTGGATTGTTTTCTTTTTGGTTTGGGCTGATGCCGGCTTATTTGTCTACACCAGGCCCGATTGTCAGTTTCATCTTCATCCCAGGCCTACACAAACTTGCATGGCAAGAGTTTCCACAGAGGAAGACTTCAGGCTGGTCCTCTAACTGAGAGGCCGATTATTTGAGGTCGATCATCCGAACATATCTTTTGTTTTTTTCTGGTTGAGAATGTTCCAATCTCTCCACTAAGGGCTCGCACCCTTGGGGCCAAAGAACACCCTAGGCGATCCTTGAGAGAGGCTCACGGAACTGAAGACTCACTTTGCAAGACCCCAGGAAGACTTGAATGACAAGCACTTTTGTGACTGGGGATCTACCAGGATGTTTCAGGATCTCCCAGCTCACTCACAGTGCTCTCCGAACGCTCTGTACTCTCGTCTCAGGAAAGAGGTGGGACTCTTGGACAAGATCCCGGAGCGTTTGAAGATGCAGCTCCACAATGAGCCTTGGTTGAGACGGGAGCGTCTCAGAAATTTCGCTGTTCACTGGGTCGAATCCCACCACTTCAGAGGAATTCACCCCGTTTGCAAGGGATGTGGAAACGACCGCTGTTGGTCGTTCGGACATGGTCTTTCGGTCCAAACTGTCCATTCCGACAGTCCTTTCGGAGAATCACATTCGTTCGGAGAATCACAAGGACGGTTCGAAAGATTTTGCCTGGATGCCCACAAAAATGCTGCACAACACCGCATTCTTTCCGCGTGTCAACATTGAGACCCAAGCAATGAGTTGCATGCCGAGTGGGTCATACTCTGACTCCAGCAAGCTTTGGCCTTTTCGATGTTTGCAAGCTTGGGGAGATCTCCAAGTCTCAACGAGAACATGATGGGAAGTTCATGCAATCCATCCACGACCAGCCCCGGAGCAGGTGAACAAGCACATTTCCTCGCTGTGCAGACTGGTGTGTGATGTACGTGCCAACTCCCCCGCTCCGCTGCATTCGGTTTGATCGATGATGCTCGATCTTCTTCTTTTTCTTTTTCTTTTTCTTCTTCTTATTTTTCTTCTTCTTCTTCTCAGTTGGGACCCATTTTGGTTGCGCTTTCCTCCTACTCCGAGGAGATCTACATGCCTTTCTTGCTCTCCCTGAAGATTTGGCCCCGTGGAGACATCGATGATATCCAGTACATCTACAGTGTCTCGGCCCAGTTCGAGTTCGTTTCCCGAGGAAGGGTGGTGGAGTGGGACGGGGCTTTTCCCGAGTTCGGCCAGTGCGTGCGTCGAGGTTCCAGGGAGTGAGCGGCCTGCTATCACCATCCTGGGATCTGTTGGAGGCCCTCCCATCCAGGGCTGAAGCTGGGTCATGAGAAGCAATTCTGGGTCCGGGCCCTCGCTCGGACATCCGAGGCAATGTGTGCCACCGGGCCATGGTCGAAGGCTATGCCTCGCCTGGGCAGGACTGGTCTTCGTGCGGGGCGAGCGGTTGTGTGGAAACGATCCAGCATGTGATCCAGCCATTTACAGCGTGTTTCGTAAGGAGATCTTTGGTTGGTTTGCAGGTGACTGCAGTAGACCAAGGTGGACGAGGAAACTTAAAATCGTGAGGAATGATGAATGTGGATCTTTGGCTGTTGGAATCTTGGATTCTTGGATTCTTGGCTCCGGCCAAGGCAACATCACGGGGTGGTTGGGCGATGAGAATCCCAGAATGTTCACGGTGGAAGGAAACAACCTCTCGCCAGCAGATGACAAGGAATGAGCAGAGACGGGGACGGACCAGGACCGGGGATGACATTTGGAATCCCGCTCTCAGGATGTTTTCATGCCTGGCACGGATTGCCGGGACGTCTACATCTTGGAGACTGGGCCATCCAAGTGGCCCAAGAGTGGAGGAAGATTCCGGGGGACATCAGATGGGAAGATCAATCTCAGGCGTGTTTTTTTTGCGTGTATTTTTTCCAGACATTCTCCATTCAAAGGATTTCAAAGGTCCTTCATGATCTTCATGGGGTGTGGAAGATTTAGCCATCAGACTGACCAGAATGCGGCGTCCAATGTTCTTTAGGCTCTAGTTACCTAGTTTGATTTTGGACTAGTTTGGTTTGTTTTCTTCATATGCAACTCATCTGAATGTTTGTTCGCTTTGAATCTCAGGAATCGGGTCGCATGCTCTATCTGGCACGCCAAGAGCACAACGACGAGGAAGCACCTTTTGTGGTGCTCCAACAGGAGAATCTCTGTGTTGCGTGCTTGTGGACCGAGTGGCACCATCGTCACTTGGCCGGATTCGGCATACTGCCAATTTTGGGTTTCGCCGAGACATGGTGTGGGTCGAGAACCCTGTAGCCTGGCGAAGGCCCATTTTCCATGGCTTCGACGTCAAAGGAGGGAATCATACCTCAAAAGTTGCTGTTTTTGATTCTCTCTTTGTCAGCTGGTGAGCTACTAGGACGAACTGGCCCGATGAGACCCATAAGTTTAATCCTATATGCGTGCACATTCGAGCAATCTAATGTATATATACACATTTTGTTGTGTGTTATATAATGTGTTTTTCAAGAAGGCCCGTGGCACGACACGTGGTCATCACACTACTTGTGATTATCGTAAAACCATTTTCACCACAACGTTGGCACAAGTCGACACATGTCATGTAACAGTAACAGTTTTTGTTTCTCAAGAAATATTTGCAAGAAATGTAAGACTTGTTGAAAGCAGTTCTTTGTCCTCTCTGATCATTGTAAGCCACAGGCCTTGTGAATGTTGGACATCTCTTGGAGGTTTCAAGGCCAACATCCTTTTTCAGAGCCAACGCCTGTGAGGCGGTCGGCTGAGCGCGGGTCAAGGCATTGGCTACTACATCCAGGTGCCTGGAGTGTCTTTTGGGCATTGGGACTCGGGGGCGCCGCCTTCGGAACTGTTCGTCGTCCAGAGCGGCTTGTGCTCCAAGGTGGGTTTTGTCAGCACGGTTTGACACATGTTTTCCCAGGGGAGCCCACAAAGTCACCAGGTCTTTGCCGGAATCACGGTGGAAGTTGGTTTGCTGAAGAACCTAGGAGAAGGTGGGAGACTGGAGAGTGGGTTTTCGGCATTTGCTCCTGACCCTCTCACACTACTTGAAGAGTTCGAGTCTGCTCCCTACAACTCTCCTCTCCATCAGGTGCAATGTGATGCGTTTGGGCATCTGGTGGTGAAGTTCGGCGGACCCTTGTGGCGCTTCCTGCAGATTTTCGGGATTCTATTGGTCAGCGACATGGCCAGATTTCTCGGGACCCAAACAGCGACCTGTGGTTGCCGGAGGCTGGTAGGGCTGCTGGCGAAAATGTTCTCCTGGGTGGAAACTGATGCTAAAGTCAGCCGCAATTTCTTTCGCAATATGAAGCACGGCGAAGCCGCAGGATTTCTCGAGAATGACAGAGGTGCTGGGCAAGGATAGGATTCAATTCATGTTCAGATGTTCTACCATGTTCCTTCCACCCGTGGCGACTATATATTATGATCGTGAGATTTGATAATCATTAACTACACAAACACACAAACCTTTTGTTGGACTGTCAGCATGTTTGGCAGATGTTCTGCAGAATTTCGCGTTGCTGTGACCGTCTACCAAGTTGGGACTAGGCATGACATGGTGTCAGTTAAAGGAAGCAAGACAGTCAAAGAAGCAAGACCATGAAGCTTGACCTGTCAACTGTCAACAGTTTTGCTGGCACTGGCGTTGACGAGAGGTTTTCCATGAGATAGACAAATCATGATAATTCAACTACCAGGCTGAGTTTTGCCTGACACAACCTTTGGCATGTATTCTCCGGTTTAAACCTAAGTTAAACACACACACACACAAGGTCAACGGCGTCCATCCATGGTGTCCGTCCGTTTTCGACGCCTGGGACTGAAGTGGCGCCACCATCGAGGTGAGCTGGAGTTCCTCCAAGATATGGGCGAGCCAGTCTCCGACCTGGGTCTTCCTGAGGTGGCGCTGTTTCAGAAACGAGAACACGAACAAGAGCCCAGGGACGGTTGGTTCAAAAGGGTTTCAAAGAGGACTCCAATTATGGCCATGGAAGAAAGAACATCCAGGAATTGAATCTGGAGTCTACATAGATGAATCTGGCACGGGCGAAAAAGAATCGCTGCCAATCACAGTTGTTGATGCCCGGCCATCCACACTGAAATGCGGCCTCCCCGCACAAGAAGAACCGAAGAGGTCCTCATCTTCCCAATTTCGACTGAGGCCAGTTCAACACCCATCATGTTCAACACCCAGTTCAACACCGTCAATTTCAACTGATCCTCCTATTTTTTTGCTCCAGGAGTCTCGGTTCAACACCCAACCTGTCGGCCCAACAGGACGCACCCAACACGACGTTCTGAACGGACGACACGCGGTGTGTCCGGATCCCTTTTCGATCGCGTCCTCCGCGGGCGGCAGGATCGCATGAGCGATTTGGCGACGCGTGCCGAGCGCTTTGAGCAAGTGTTGGTGCCCAGTGGATCTCCTCGAGGCGCCTCGGTGCGTCCGGATGGCTTGTCCAGGACTGCCAGAGGGTTGGACGGGTGGTGCGCCGATATCATCGGCCGCCCCCCGTTCCGATGCTACGGAGGTCTTTGATTCTTGAATTGAGCTTGCGGATGCCGCAGGGAAGACTCATCTCAGATCCGCTGGGAGTGAAACTTTCTTCTTTAGCGGCACCAAATGGCAGGAAAGCAAGAACAACACAACAAAAACCATCGAAGAGACGCATTCGTCATGACGTTTCACGAGTTCCGGCGTGACACTGCGACACTGCGACACGCTGACACCAGGATTATCAGCATTACCAGCAGCAAGACGAAGTCCACATCGGCTGAGCGCTTTAGTGAGGAGAGACTGTGACCACAGATCGCGAAAGCTGCGGTCAGTGGCGGGTGCTTGGTGCAACGATGTGCAACCGGTGATGGCGCGTTCTGCTTTTTGAGTTCCCACGCCTTTTTTGTCACAGGTTCCATGTCAGGTTCAGTTCTTGAACGCGTCCGTAAGGGTTCGGAGTTGCACAGGCCTGCAGAGCACATCAATGCTCTAAGACCGAGGCATTGCAGAAATCAAGACCATTAAACATTGACACATACATGTTCACGCCCTACCTGCTACCAGGGCTACCAGGGGAACTTACTCTGAATGCATCCAAAGATATCCAAAGTCATCCAAAGACATGACTTGCCTATGCACGAATTATTTGCTGCATCTCTTTGCTGGTTGCCTGTAGACCACAAACGTGGCTGCAGAGTCTTCCAGAGTCGGTCGTGTCCTATGCGGTGCGCTTCTTGCGTCGCAGCTGGTGGGGTGAGTTGAGTCAAGTCATGATGCCCATGGTAGATCTACGGAGTACGGGTGGCATGTCAAACCTGCACCTGGAAATCCAAACAACCAGAAAGAAATGGATGTTTGCCCAAACAGCCATTTGGCATCATTTGGCCATTTCCTATGTAAAGGATCTCAACATCATTTGTTTCTGGTTGTTTGGGTTCCCAGGCAGGTCAAGAGGTTGTATCCACAAAACGCTTCACTGGCTCTCTTTCGCACATCCATTTATTCTGCGACCCAAGCTGGTCCCATCAGCTGTCGCTAATGTCTATATACCAGAGGTTCATCCGCATCTTAGTCAAGGCAAACTCTGACTCCAAGTGCAATCTGCAACATGAGTTTGGCACTTGGCTGTAACTCCAAGCACTTGTCCAAAATTCTCTTGTGTTCAGTGTGTTCAGTGTTTAAACCGTGTATTCAATCTCAAGACAGCTTGTCTACTTGGGATTGCCTTTGTACAGCATTTGGGCGATGGAACTTGCCTTGCGAAGGCGGAGAACCAAATCACGACCTTGTGAATCTGGCTGCTGTTAATCCGACAACGGCCAAGGGCCAAAGCCTGTCCTCCCCGAGTTTCGTAGCATGTATTGCTCGCCAAGAACTGAAGCCAGGAGACACGAAAAGGAACCTGCGACCTGCTATTTGAGGTTGCAGCTTTAGAACGCCAAGCAGTCGTCTCTGTGACAATCTTTTTTCTCAGGTTTCAGGTACTCCATGGTACGTACTCTCATTTGCACTCCAGATAGGGTCCTTTCCACTAGTCACCGCAGTGCGTAACTGGGTGTTTCCTGGATGTTAAGATGTGACTTCCAATCGCATCCATTCGTGCATGAATTGGTGTGCCTCGTTTTTTGAATGCTACTATTTTCCCTCGATTTGGCCATTCGAGATCGGAAAACCCGTGCGCCCATGTTTTCTCCACCCGTTCGATAACCTCTGAACATCGCCCCGTCGCGTGAACTGACCGGTTCTTCCCCGGTTCCGAGCCCTTCGGCCGGTGGGTCCCAAGGGTGTCGCAGGTACATGCGGCAGTTTGAGAAGTTCCAGGTCTCCGAGCTCGACAGCTACTTCGAGGACGCCTACGCCCGGACCGCCCGGGTCACGGGGCCTACGCGGTGCCCCGCGCCGGGCCGGACCGGTCGGGCCGGCGGCCACCGCGGCGCCTTCCGGTCGGGCCGTCAACTCGGGGACCACAACATGCTGCCGAAGGACCCATCAAATGCTAGGTAGGGGTCAAGATGGATCAAGAAAAAGTCTCAGGCCCCGGAAGCAGCGCAACGAAGCTACAAGTTGCTGTAATGCCCAGAGATGGCAGCTCACCCTTGGACCTGGAGAAGAAGACCGCTCTCAGGAGCCTCCGCTTGCTCCCGTGCCGTTCCGAGGCTTGGTTCTTCATCCACGTGGATGCCGAAGACTTGCGGAACCGCTGGGCGACGGTGCGACCTCGCGCGCCCTGGCCGAGTGGGGGAAGGTCGTGCCCGGTGGGTGAGGCTGGGGGCGGGGAGGGGACGACGCGTGTTCCGACGCGGTGTCTTCTGTGCGGCGAAGGGACGAAAAGGGGGGATCCCGGATCCCTCAGAGTCGATGTGTTTGTTTTCTTTTTTGGAGCGGTTAGGAAAAGTGCACCAGACCTGTGGGTAGCTTCAGGCAGATCTACAGTCTACAGATCTCATCAATGTCGACATGCCAATGTATTGGAGCGCCCTTGGTTTCCATTTGGACTTGATTGAGTCTTCAATGCACCTGGAAAGGATCCATGGATATCCATAGATTGCTTATGTGAGATAGCAGCTGTCGCGCATACCCAACTTTCTGCCAACTGTTTTCTGTTTTTGGGGGGTGGAGGCAGGACATGTTCATTTGGCTGGCAGAGAAATTGTTCACATCGAAACGATCCATGCCTTTGAGCATCAGGTGATTTGCTCTCTCAAATCATCCCCTAACTTGACTGTGACGCATGGATACGTATGGGAGATTAATTGCTTTCATGTCTTTTCCCATGGGGGAAAATTCACCCAGAAGTCATTCCACCCATGGCCCCCAAATGTTCTTCTGCTTCGCATACGTCCAGTTTGCACTTGGCCTAGGTGATTGGGCCCCACAGTTCCTCCGGTCGTCAGATTTGTCGCCACTCTTCGACTCAGGTGGCCAGCATTCTCAAGGCTGCTCCCTCCGTGGCAGCGCTCCCGGACATTTCCTCCTGGGAGATCGCCAGGCGACGCGGGGTGTTCCGGCGAGGAGGGGGTCGTGCTTCGTGTTTCGGATGGTGCGGGAATGGACAGACCTCCAACATACTCAGTTTGGAGCAAACATGGAACTGGGATGAACTGGGATGAACTGTGTGGCTGACTGACTGGAACGTCCAGTCTGTTGCCACTGAACATGGCAGCTCGCGAATTAGTCGATGGGTCGGTGGATCCGTGAGATTCCGTGAGCCTTTGGGAGACTCCCGAAGGAGATCGTTTTCCAGAACAGGGCCGGGTCAGACTGTTGGGAGCGCCCGTGTTTCAGGATCGATGAATGCTTGGAGAAGGACGTTTGGTATTTGAGGCCGGGAAGGACACAGCCCTTAGGACGCAAGGGATGTTTCAGTATCGGCTTACAGAATAAAGCTCTCTGTAGAAACTGGAAACGCACGAAGTCTTCCAGCAAGTAGGTGAACCGACGATCGAACGTCGAAGCACAAAGGCGACCGACTGGGGCCGCGCGTCCGCGCCTTTTCAGCGTGCTGAGCCCGCCCTCTGCGGACGGATCATGTGGTTTCATGAAACAAAGTGATGTACAGCGTACATCTTCACATGGAGGGAGAACTGTACTGCTCAAAAGCTCTGTACCAATGGTGCACATCATGTTTGATGCACCAACCCTGTGGGTACAGCATTCGGTCAGGTGGTGGATTCACTCCAGCGCAGTACGGACATCGTCGCATGACGAGCAAATTCTTTTCGGTGATCTGCTCCGTCAAGTGGCATGACTCCAAATGCCAGCACTCGCCTCGCTTCGAGGCATAGATCTCTCGGGTGAAGGGGCATCGAGCAGCATGGTCTTCCATCTCTGCTTCAAGATTGCGGAACAGATCTCGGGCAGCCAAACACAGGTTGCGCAAAGCATCCAGTTCCTCTTCTTGGAGTGCCAGCGCGGCACGGGCTTCTTGTGCAGCTTTCTTCGACTCTTCAACCTGACGTAGGCTGTGGTCGTGATCTGCCTGAAGCTTGGTGTTCAACTGCCTCAGTCTTTGTGGGACTACAGCTTCGTCCTTCTGGGTGGAGGCATCGTGTCGTGCCGGTGAAAAAAGGAACTTGGTGCAACGGCCCAAAATGAACATGCCAAAGAGTGCCATGACGTGAACAGCAGCTAAAACCAAAATCCAGAACCATAGGCTATCTTGTTCTTCTGGTGCTTCGGTTGTGGAACATGTATTGGTTTCACCAGTTGCTGCAACCATCATTGACCACCAAACCAACCATTTGAGGACATTCTTCATGCGACCCGTGTCCATGGCATGCTTGCGGTGAGCGACATGGCTGGCTAGGAACACATACGTGGGAGCGGGGTTGTTCTGTGCAAAGTGGACATACTCACAAAGCTCCGTGTTCTCAGGTTCGCCAGAGTCCTCAAGGGCGTCGAAGAACTCCTGAGTGTTCTTGGTGTCAGGGGGCAACTCATTCTCAATCGTGTGTTCATTCTGAGTGGGCTTGTCAAAGTCCGGGGGTTCCTCTGGCCTGTAGTGCTCGGTGGACTCAGCAATGGCCTTGTGGCGCTCTGCTTTGGTCTTGCGCTTGGCCGCGGTGTACGACGGATCCCATGTCAACTTGATCCTGCCATGTCGTAGCCGAGCTGCCAGCAATGCGCGAGCACTCTCCTTGGTGAACCCGTCGCCAAGCTGTCTCTCTGAGGAGACCCACCGAAGGGACCCACCAATGTCCTGCATTCTCTCCTTCATCACACGGATCTCGAGGCTAATCCTTTTGTCGATCACTGATGAACTGATGCCCTCACGATGGTACGAGTCGTAGAGAGCTTTCGCATCCGTGATCAGCTGTGGGGTCAACTGAGACTTGACCTTCAGTAGATCTTGGAGAGGTAGGACAGGATGAAGCAGGTGCTCCCAAAAGCGACATGCGAACTCAGTGGCGTCCGCCGCTTGGCCTCCAGCTTGGGCTTCTGCTCCTAAGGAACTTCGGGCCACCCTGGGTGTTCGGAAGCTGCGCCAGTCAAGAATGTGATACTGGCCTTCCTCGGATGATGTCAACAAGGCCTTGTTCACCAACATGATCACATAGCCACCTTGGGAATTACCATCCGGCCTTGAACCAAAACCAGCATCGAAGAACGTGATCATCTGGAGCTGTTGCGGCTCGCCGATGTAGTTGTAGATGAGCCCGACATCCTTGTTCTCTTTGCAGAACTTCAGTAGGCGGTTGCACTCATGAAGTGTGTGCACCGTTGCTTTATTGACCTGGCTGGATAGCATGGACGTAGAACACTGCAGATGCGGTGAAGTTTGAACTGCTGGCCATTGAACTGAACCAAGTAGGCCACGGACCTGAGTGATCTCTCGCTCATTGAGGGCCTCAGTCAAGGCTCTGCCCTTGTTGAAGGTGATGGGGCTGACCTTTCCC